TCCCCTTAGTTTCCTTTAGTCCTCAGTTCCCACGCTTTAGCGTCGGGCCCGAACTAAGGCCTCGCCGTATTCAGGATAGTGTGTTGTTCCCATATTATTTTACTCAGTAATTGCGTGGCATCCATTTCGGGGGAGGTACTTTAGTGTCTATGCATAGGGGCGAATCATCATGAATCAGTGGCCACAGGCTCATGATCCCGGCTGTTGTCGATCGGACCCTCTTTCTGGAGCCAATGCCACCGTGCAAAATCTCTTGTTATTTGTTGCGCCCTGGTTCCATGCATAAGCGCACTAGCTACATAACTAGGTGCAGTTGGGATATAACCCGCTATATCCACCATTCCGAGGGGATCTCAAGCCCATGGACCCTTTGGTAAATTAGCAATCAGAAGCGAAATGATAGGAAGTCCCGACATCTCGGAGGGGAAAAAAGACGCGGGTACTAACTTCAAAGTGGGTTGCGGACTGGGGCCGTGTCATCAAGTAGATTCCCGCCTCATATATTCGTCTCCTGAAGTCTGGAAGTCCCCCGAAGTGGTGACCAGGCCTTCGTGAAACAATTTCAAATTAAGTCACCGCCAGATTGACGGTTCTAGAAAACGAACAGCGCAGTAGCAGTGCATCATGCATACTAAGTTAGTGTTCCACTAACACACTGTTCTTCCTTCCCGAGACCCCGCACTGACTAAGCCATCCACATGACTCGTGTCGTAACATGATTAGATTGTGGCCTCAGGCCACGATATTATGTCATAGTCCAGATCACCACCTGATAGCTTCCTCAATAGGTCCCGTGTCCATGATCAGATGCCCCGGGTCATAATCTCACGAGAAGAGAACCCTAGATCTCAGAGAGAAGAGTGAAAGGTATATCGTATTTGATTACAGCCCATGCATCGCTGTGTGCTGTACTGAAAGCTGTTGTGGATAGTGACCGCATCCCCACAGCGCCGTGTTGACCTTATCGGAATCCCTCCCAGAGCTCCGCCAATCCATGGCGATAATTCTCAAAGACTCGAGAGCATCAATCTGAGTCGGATTGGAAGATGATGTCCTCAAATATACTCTCGCGGTTTCTCCCACCCACAGACTCGCCATCCGTCTATGAAGCTATCCGAGAACACGATGCCGAATCCGATTCCTCTGATGTTGAAGAGCGTGCAGGGATGGGCCCAATGGGGGACCAGGAAAATTATAGTGACGGAGAGCTGGAGGACGCGCTGGCAGATGCAAGGGATAGCGAACTGTCTAGCCCAACTGCAGCCCTGCTGGGTCGGCCATCACCGAAGACCAATCCTCGCGGCTCCCCGTCGGTTTCGCGTCGTCGAAAACCCTCCAGACCCCGATGGATGACGCAGGCTTCGCCGCAAGGATATGAGCTTGATGATCGAGATGAGGACGTACCACAGTCACTCTTGGTGGAGGGTCATGATGATGAGGACCTGAAATCAAGGCTCCCTCCCCCGCCTCAAATGATGCCCAGTCGCTCCAGAACCCCTAGTCCTCGACCATCTCCACACCCTGCACCGCCACGACGCTGGGAAACGTCCCATAATCGACAACCATCAGATACTGATAACCGTCATCCTTGGACGCGATGGTTTTATGGGCAGCACCTAAGCTTAGCTAACGTTGACCCTAAGAAGAAAGCCATGTGGCGCTGGGCAAATGTAGAGGATTTGGACAATTTCTTGAAAGATGTATACATTTATTTCCTGGGAAATGGATTTTGGTCCATTCTTTTGAGTCGCGCCTTGAATTTGTTGACGTTTGCCTTTGTAGTGGGGTTCTCCACGTTCCTCACCAACTGCGTCAACTACCACAAGGTCAGAGGCAGCAAATCACTGGACGAGATTTTGATCCCCAAATGCACCTCCCAGATGTCTGGCTCCACGCTCTTTTTGCTATGGTTATGCACATTCTTCTGGATTGGGAAGCTTTTCCAATATTTGCTGGACATTCGACGGCTTCAGCACATGCATGACTTCTATTACTACTTGCTTGGAGTTTCGGACGGGGAGGTACAAACCATCGCATGGCAAGAAGTTGTCAGCCGGTTGATGACGCTGCGAGATTCTAATCCCGCCACGGCCGCAGCAGTGTCTGCCAAACATCGACGATTTATGGGCAGTCAATCAAAACAGCGAATGGATGCTCATGACATTGCGAATCGTCTCATGCGCAAGGAAAATTTTATGATTGCCTTAGTCAACAAAGACATATTGGATCTTACGCTGCCCGTCCCGTTTCTGAGAAATCGTCAGCTTTTCTCGCGCACATTAGAATGGAATCTTAACTTATGCATCATGGACTACGTTTTCAATGAACAAGGTCAGCTGCGCACCTTGTTTCTAAAAGATACCCACCGGAGAGCGCTGAGTGATGGGTTGCGACGACGCTTTATATTTGCTGGCATTATGAACATCTTCGTCGCGCCATTCATCGTGGTCTACTTTCTTATGCACTACTTTTTCCGCTATTTTAATGAGTTTAAGAAGAACCCGGGCCAGATCGGATCACGCCAATACACCCCGCTGGCGGAGTGGAAGTTTCGCGAGTTCAATGAGCTCTGGCATTTATTTGAGCGTCGGATCAATATGTCCTATCCATTTGCCAGTCGCTACATCGACCAATTCCCCAAGGACAAGACAGTTCAGGTAGCCCGGTTTGTGGCATTCATCTCCGGTGCATTGGCCTCTGTACTTGCCCTTGCGTCACTGGTGGACCCCGAATTATTCCTAGGATTTGAGATCACTCCTGACCGTACCGTTCTCTTTTACCTGGGTATTTTTGGTACGGTATGGGCATTTGCACGCGGACTGGCTCCCGAAGAAACCGACGTCTTTGATCCTGAATACGCACTACTTGAGCTGATCGATTTTACGCACTATTTTCCGAGCACCTGGAAAGGCCGCCTGCACAGCGATGATGTGCGCAAAGAATTCGCTGTTTGTTACCAAATGAAGATCGTCATCTTCCTTGAGGAGATCCTCAGTATGATCTTCACGCCTTTTGTGCTGTGGTTCAGCCTTCCCAAATGCAGTGACCGATTGATAGACTTCTTTCGCGAATTTACGGTTCATGTTGATGGGATGGGCTACCTTTGCTCTTTTGCGGTCTTTGATTTCAAAAAAGGCACAAATGTCATGTCCGCAGGCCGGAGGGACACACCGGGCAGGCAAGATCTGCGGGCGGATTACTTCTCGACAAAGGACGGAAAGATGCTTGCTTCATACTATGGGTTCTTGGATCACTATGGTACCAATAATCCGTCTGCTGGTCGACGGCCATTCCATCCACCCCCGAATTTACCTACGCTTGGGCCCCACGAGATAGGCGGTCTCCATGATCGATATGATCCCCAACCTCGATCAGGACCTATGGGGCAATTGGGTCCGTCCCTTGTAGCATCGAGATTTCGACCCATGGCAGCCGACCATACTCGTTCCCCCACCGCTTCCATGCTTTTAGACCCGCATAATCAGCCATCTGCATCGGGCTTCCGCCCCGGACGGGCTGCCCCCTATCATCGTTCCCGCCTTGCTCGGTCGCAGCATCCTATGGCTGATACCGCTGAGGACGAAGAGTCACCATCGGAGACCCATGACTCTTCCACCCGCGCCCCGCGCCCCACCGGTACATCAAGTGGCGGGGTTGGCACGAGCGATGGGGACTTGGGAGATTCCTGGCGAATGAATCCACTGGCCAACGAAGAAGAAGTTGATGAAGGCAATGAGGGTGAGAATTTGAATGACATCGCTGGAGGAGCCGGTGTTCTGGGTCTCATCCAACAGTTCCAGAAAGCCAATACGGACGGTCGACGGACTACGGTTGGAATATAGAGTCTTGAAGGTATCATTCACGCATAACGGGGAAATTATTCAGAAAGCCCAATCATGTAGTCTCCATGAATTTTTGTTTTTGCCTTGTTTAGCGATCTAGAATTGATTCTTTCTTCTCCTTTTTAGGACCTATCCGTGTTGTATAGGGCTAGACAGGTGCAAGGTCTACCATCAGACCACGTATATACCGGTTAGTGTCTAGCAATCTTGGTTTCCCTTTCTGATTTAGTGCTCACCCCTTACCGCTTTTTGCTCCCCGGGTCGTGTGAAAATCTTGGTATTTAATTGAACTAATCTCCGACAGAAATTCTCGTAGTTCGGTCCAATCAATAAGTAGTTTACTAAATAGGCAGCGATTTGCCCCATAGCGGGGCTGGACAGAATATTAGATTATTTGACTGAGTCCGTAATTTTTACCCGCCAGCATGATGCAAATCATCCTGTCGCCTGCGCATTTATGGCCTAGCGGGATCCCGGCCGCTGTCCGCTTGCACCCTGAGATGGATGGAATGAGTGACCCACTAGAAGAAATTAAAGGGCAGTGCCAGTTTTTGAAAGTAAAAGGCCCCATCGATCTGGGAATAAGATCTTATTAACATCTCATAAAAATAAGGACTCTCCTTTTTGACTCAAGAGGAGGATAGGACCTAGCGACGGGCTCTAACACAGAAATCGGCGTCTGCAGATCAAAGCTTCCGTGATGTATTTATAGCCTGTGGGGTGAATGGAGAGCTGTACACAAAACATATACTATATCTCCTAGTCGTACTACTTAAATGCCCGACTTCAGTGGCCCTCACACGTCCAAACGCTGTAGTCGTCTGCCTCGTCGACATATTCTATGAGCCCGAGGACCACTCACGTATCACTTAGCTATTGATCCTCCAATATGCGATTCCTAGCGCCGGAGAACTTGCCTACGAGCTACCGCCTCGAAACCGCCGATTTCAGCGCAATGGCAATGATCCGTGCTGGTACATACTGTTATCTTCCCATGCCTCGACTGGCATGCATATTCGTAATCGATAGCCAGAGCTTTTTGGTTATGTTAACTTTTGTTACTATTGATCGCTCCCACTTAATCTTGTTTCGCGGCAACATAAAATAACGGATAGAAAATCTTATAAAATCGATATGCATCTACCGATCCTATAGATGATGGCGGGCCTCAGCCAGCGAACGTACCTTGGGGTTCATGAGCGACTTTACTGTGGACGGATGGACCGAGGAGTTTGGGCGGTTTGCACCAGAGCGACTACCCACGAGCGCCAGGGCCGGGTGACCGACTACATCTGGGATCAGCTAGCAGATATTTCGAAGAAGCCGTTCATTGATTATAATACTCTTCGCCCAGACCGGCAGCTTACCATAATGCAGGGGCGATCTTCTGCTTGATATTCAAGGCCACTGGCGTAACCGATTATCTAGTTATTTAGCTATATAGCGCCAAGTCTATGTGCATCTACTTTAATAGAGCGGCGAACCTTATCCCCGGTGCATCGAAATACTTCAGGAATTCACGACGGATACTTCCACAAGGCTTTCTACTCCTCCATCTTGGCATTACTTGGCGTTCTTCGTATTAGGAGCATGACAGCCTCGGGTACGAAAGGGAAATTGGGCATAGAACCCCCCCACGATGATAGGTTGATCCTCCGGACCCTTGCTGACCCGCTCAAGCGAAACAACTCAAGGCTGCAGTCAGTCTAGGCTCAAATAGACATGTATTACTTATGATCCGAATCAACGTGTTCTATGATTGGATCCCCCTGCGTTTGACCCTCGGTGGCGTACACCCCCTCATCCAGTTGTGGTCCCCGAAGACTGCGGTAGGAAGCTCGGCAGGCTTGGCTACGGTCGAGAACCCTGAAGAGCTGAACCCAGTCAGCACTTATTCTTCCCCCTTTCCTTTGGAGTTTGACGATATTTTTTTCCTTCTTCTTGTGTAGGGAGATTGCAAAGATTTCCAGGAACAAGGATCATATTTAAAAATAGAAGAGCTTCATCTCCCAGTCGGGCAATTATGCCTAGTTGGGGTTAATGTCAACACTAGAGTGATGGAGCAGGAACTAGAGATCTGGATCCATACAATTGATCCAATAACATTCTTGCCTCAATCGCGCGTCACCCATCACATGTGGATCGTTCGTTGTTTTAGTCTCGTGATACAAGGCCAAGGGTCTAGAATTTAATATTTTCTTTGATTTCTATCCAAATTCATTCCTCTTGTTTCCCTTCTTCACTCCCTTTCCTTCCCGTCATTCATTTATTCATCCCGTCGAAACACGGGCCCGTCATGTTTCGCGCTCGACGCTACCGAGTGCTCCTCGTATTCGCGGCAGCATTTATCCTTGCGGTCCTTCATTTCGCTCGGTCGCGCGATTGGGCTGATACCATCATCGAGACTCCTGCGATACACTATCCGGATACTGCAGCTTATCCAAAATCCCAGTCCGCGCCGGCCGCGAAGCCCATCCCTGGCGTCCCGGTGGAAAAAGGAAGCAACCGGTTTGCGCCTGCGGAGCCTGATTATAACTCGTTTGGATCCCACTCTTCTGAGAATCTCAGTCCGCCGACTATCTCAGAAGCTCCGTTAAAGGAGGACACTAAGAACTCGGCTTCGTCTTCGGGAGCGGGCTCGTATAACAATGCACAGGAGAAGGTTCCAAGCAAGGGGACAGCGAACGGCCTGAAGAACACTGGCTCCATTTCCAGTGATGTCTCCAGTGGTAATAAGCGCCCGCCCGTGAGTTCGGATTCGAGCTTGAGTGATTCGAGCTCTGCTCTTCTGGAAGAGATCGATATCGAAGGCTCAGGCAGGGTGGCAACTAAGCACGAACCCGGCGCACCAACCACGCGATGGAGAAAATTCCCCGAAAGATTCCCCGTTTCATCGGCTGAGCTTATCAAGCTACCAAAGACATATGCGAAGTCCATGCCGAAGCTGCAGGCCAAGTTTAAGGATGAGGCGACTGCCGACAAGCAGGAACGATTGCAGCAGCTCAGCACGATCAAAGCCGAGTTCAAGCACGCATGGGAAGGGTATAAAAAGATTGCTATGGGTCATGACGAGATCAAGCCTCTTTCAGCGGCATTTGAGGATCCATTCAATGGATGGGGAGCGACATTGGTGGATTCGCTTGACACCCTATGGATCATGGAGATGAAGGAGGAGTTCTCGGAAGCAGTCGATGCGATTAAGAAAATCGATTTCATGACCTCGGCCAGAGAGGATATTCCTATGTTTGAAACTGTGATTCGGTATCTTGGTGGCTTGCTTGGTGCCTATGATATCTCTGCACAGCGATACGATGTGCTACTGGAGAAGGCGGAGGAGCTCGCTGAGATCTTGATCGGTGCTTTTGATACACCTAACCGCATGCCGGTACTTTACTACCGTTGGACACCGTAGGTATCATCTTGTTCACGTTTGCTTAAAATGCTGGGACTAACATTCCCACAGGGACCATGTGGTTCGACCCCACAGAGCATCATCTAAGGCTGGACTGGCCGAAATTGGATCTATGTCTCTGGAATTCACTCGATTGGCTCAATTGACCCAGCAAGACAAGTACTATGATGCTATTGCACGGATTACGAACGAGCTAGAGGGGCTGCAAGACCAAACCTCTATCCCAGGACTGTGGCCCATGAAAGTCAATGCACAGGGTTGTGCGAAATATAAAGCTTACCAGCAAATCAACCCTGGTAATTCTATCAACAAAGAAGAGCCCCGAGCCCAAGAGCTTTTGGTGGAAACACCAACAGAAACGCAGAACAGCACAACAACGACCGTGGCTCATAAGCATTACGCTGCGCCGACTGATTTGAACAGTTACCTCAACTTGATCTCACGTGATGCCTTGATGGACGATTTTGCAGAGGCAGAGCCAGCCAACTATCACAAGAGTTCTAGCTCTGGCAATCTGGATATCGAGGCTGAGGCAGATCAACCCAAGTGCAATGGGGGGTTGCTGATGCCCAACGCGTACCGTGATAACAAGTATACGATGGGAGGAATGGCTGACTCGACGTACGAGTATTTGCCCAAGGAGTATCTCCTGCTCGGTGGTGCGAACGACCAGTACAAGAAAATGTACACCAAGGCCATTGATGCAGCCCGCAAAAACCTACTTTTTACACCCATGGTCAAGGGTGAACGTGATATCCGGTTTATGGGGTCAACCACCAGCCTGGACCTTGGAAAGAAAACCACCGATGTTCAGTCTTTGCTGATGTACGAGAGCCATCATCTAACCTGCTTTATCGGAGGCATGGTTGCTGTTGGAGCCAAGGCCTTTGGCATCGACGGAGACATGGACCTTGCTGCCAAACTAACCGACGGTTGTGCGTGGGCATACGAATCGACGACCACCGGTATAATGCCGGAGCGTTTCCGTATGCTACCTTGTGGCAAGGACCGAGCCTGCGAATGGGACCAGACGCGCTATGACGACGAAGTCAAGCGTTACGGCCCCGTTCGCGATTCTGCCGCCGAGGCCCAGTTCCGCAGCGGAGAAAGCACATACGGACAACGCGTCAAAATGGTCTCCGACCCAAAGTCAGAATCCGGAGCCAGCGATAGCGGCATGGCTGTTCCTTTACCCATGCCGGGTTCATTGAACCCGCACGACAGAGACCCGGAAGTCTATAAGCGGGATGGATTTGGCGTTGGTAGGGAGGCAAAACCATCTGCCATCCCCGCACCAGCGTCCACTCCCGGAGCTGTCAGTGATCTTGAGAATCGAGATGCCCCTCGTGCACCCCAGTCAGGCTCCTCTCTATCCCAAACAGACCGTGACTACCATCTCCCGGCGGGTATGGTTAGCATCGCCTCGCCGGATTACTACCTCCGACCTGAAGCTATCGAGTCTATTTTCATCATGTACCGACTCACAGGTGATGATGCTTGGCGACGGAAGGGCTGGAAGATGTTCGAGGCGGTCTCAAAGTACACTCGAACGGAATTGGCAAACGCTGCTATCGTGGACGTCATGTCTTCTAAGCCTGTACAGAAGGATACCATGGAGTCATTCTGGTTGGCAGAAACCTTAAAGTACTTCTATCTGCTTTTCAGCGATCCGAGTGTGGTTGATTTGGATAAATATGTCTTGTGAGTTTCAACGTTTGCACTTGATTGTGTCCTGGACAGTACTAACGAGAATCAATAGGAACACCGAAGCGCACCCATTCCAGCGTCCGTTTGGAGTGTAATGTATTGTTTGTTTGAATTCTTTTTCCTTGCATAGTGATACCAGCGAAAATTGCATAGATAGTTCCTTTTCAATTTGTGTTGTAGCCGTCTTTCCAAAGGTTCTCCAATAATATAGGTTCTCCACTCGTATAAGGAAAGAGGGCGAAATTTGCCTCCAATGAACAGCCCAGGTCATAATATAAAAGTGTGCTATAGATCAATTACTGAATGATCACCACAGGTTTAGCTCAGCCCTACGGTACAGATCAGGTGAAAGCACATCAAATCGCTTATGTAATAACAATGAAGCAAAAAGCGGCGCGGCACAAGCACCAGAACGGGAAGAGGAAAGCCAAGGTACGTACTCCGTTGTCGCCCCGCCTCCAACACATCCCGCATCTCCAACCTCCCAAAGGGGTCCGCGATGAGTGCTCTCTTAACGCCCCGAAGACGCAGATTGAGCTCGGGAAATGGAGCAAGAGGTCTCGGAGCCCGAACAGTTCTGGAATGGTAAGTGTATACTACCCGGGGAAAAAAGCAAGCAGCGCGGTCGTGCGTTCTGAGTGCTTCCCCTCCCCAATCGGACTTATTGATGATCATCCAATTTTCATGTGACCATGTCATTCCCCCAATTAACGACCAACAGAACTCGACGCGATCGTTTCTAAGCCTGCCGACTCGGAAGACCTTATCGATGATGTCTTGAGGGCGTATTTGGGCTTTACGACTCAGTACAAAGGTGCCTTTCCCTCCTTTATATCGCTCCGAACTGCTGCGTCACCGTCGGCAATGGGTGTGTTGATTTGTTCGATTTTGAACTAATTTTTGTTTATGGGGTATAGCTGAATTCCTACGGTCAGAGTGGGATATTTCGCAATGCTCGTATAAACTCTTTTCGTCGAGCATCTTCGGCGAAAATGTTGATTATGTCCGTCGACAGATAATTTACGGTCTCTTGCAGGTACGAAAACCAATTGCGAATATATTGTTTCTATCCCACATACCTGGGTCATTGTAGCAGTGCGCTTATACTTTTCATATCACAGGAAGACGACCCGGATACCCTGCACCTGATTACGTCGTTTTTACTCTTTGATGGTCGACAGAGTGAAGTGTCGCTGCAGATGATGAATGAGGAAGGTGTTTTTGCCAGACTGTTGGAGCTTATCCAGGCGCGAAGGAGGGAAGATATGGATAGTGAGGCGGGACTGCACCGGCTTTTGATGGATCTGCTATATGAGATGTCGAGAGTCCAGCGTGTCAGGATCGAAGACTTGGGTATATTTCTTGGTGAACTACCCATTAATGCCAATAAGCTGATAATGGGTCTTTTCCCTTCTGTGCAGTGCTCGTGGATGACGACTTTATTCGGTGTCTTTTTGATATTATCGAGGATTTATCTTATGATGTCACGGATCCATATCATTATCCTGTTATCCGAGTCTTGGTAAGTTCGTATGACCTTCTAACCCAAAATTAGTAGCTAACGAATCGAACAGCTTGTTCTAAATGAACAATTTATGATCTCGGCCCATGATCCAGTGGATGGGCCGTCGTCGTCAAGCAAATTGACCAACAAGGTCATCAAAGTTCTGTCTATGTATGGCGGTTTGTACAAGACTTTTGGAGAGAACATTATTCTGCTTATTAACCGCGAAGGTATGTCTCTCTGCTTGATGGATACACACAGGCAACTAACATGCATTAGCCGAAACATCACTGCAGTTGCTGACACTGAAGCTGCTTTATCTGATTTTCACTACTCCCAGCACTTACGAGTACTTTTTTACCAATGATCTCCATGTTCTGGTAGATATCTTGATCCGGAATCTGCTTGACCTTCCTGAGGAGGCATCTGCACTTCGGCATACCTATTTGCGCGTGTTATATCCGCTTCTAGCACATACCCAGCTAAGACAGCCACCGCACTACAAACGAGACGAGCTTAGAAAGGTGCTCAGTCTCTTAGTGCGGGGTCAAGTCTCCTATGGAAATGATACCGAGCAAGCGAAGATACTCCATTTTGAGGAGGTTGACGAAACTACGCGGCGACTGGTCGCTCGATGTGCGACGGTAGATTGGCTGCGCAATGTTGAACCTGATATGAATGTTGCGCAAGAAGTTCCCACTCAGGTAGCAGTGACGGCTAGCATCGATACAGTCTTGGAAGACAATGTTCAGCAGGACTCACCAATTGAAATCGGAGATCCACTTGACCTGACCCGTTCACTGTCTCGTGCCAGCACCATCCCTGACTCTCCAGGGGCAGTATCGCCAACAAGAATGGACTCCCGGGGCTCATCCGAGGCGCCAGAATCCCGTCGAAAGCTCAGCGCAGTTGCACGGTTGGGCATGAATCTTGAACCAGCCAGCTCATCCTCTCTGAGCGTGCAAGCTGTAGCAGCGTTGCACGAGAAACCAGGTATCATGACACCCAGCCGCAAAGACGGTCCTGCAACCCGACCGCCAAAGATTAAGCCCGAACCTCCCAAATCCCGACGCTGGCGCGGTCGTCGCCTCGCCATGGACGAGGAAGACCAGCAGCACTCGGTCGACACAAGCAGTGAGCGTAACAGCAACAGCAATTCCACAATTCCTGAAGGTGTGGAGGTCAGCCCTACCACCTACACTGCTCCAAATACACCCTCCCACTCTAGTACTCAAATCGATCGCCGAAACTCCACTACAACCTCCCACCTCGTTCCCCCAGGACATCCCACTCACGCACGCCGCTCTGCCTCGAACCCACCCCCGGCTGTGCCCCCACCCCGTCGCTCCGCAACCACCACCCCTTCTTCCAGTCAGCACCGCCCTTCTCCACCACCAGGGACAGCAGTACCCGCACCATCTCCCGCACCCTTAGCAGTCGGCAAGCATGGCGCAAAGCCCCTGCCGCCAAAGACTCGCCGCTGGGGCCGTGGCAAGACACATATGCCCACTGACTCTGTCGAGAGCGGAACTAGCAGCGGTAGTCTACCCAAGGATGATGACGAAACCGGTATCATCACGGAAACTACTTTACCTCCGATATCGAAGACAGAGACAGAGCTAGAGCCACGACTACATGACCATAGCCACCCAGTATTGTCTGATGGTAATAGTAATGGTACCCGTGATCCCTTCTCGCCCACATCACCCACCTCGCCCACAATACTTCTTTCTCCCACATCCCCTACCGCCGAACTCGACTTCCGAGTTGGTGATGAGCAAGGCGGAAGTAACGGGTCTGCTGCACCTCTGAGTGTAGAAGAAGCGGTGCAGAATGTTTCATTGCATTAGATCGGGTTTGCTATTCATCTAGTGCTACTACTATTTAGGTAGCTTAGACCCAACTCACATCTATATACCTATTGTACCGATAGGTATTCAGCTTGTGAGTCTGGAGAAGATTTGATTGCATTTGGTTCATAGCCGCGCATAATTGCTTTTGAAATGATAATGACATGACAACATTGAGAGCAGTTGGAATTCGGCAGATTCCTAAATGCGTTAATGGAACTAAGAGGTTGAACAGAGGAATGTAGATGACACTTAGGTAGCTTGCTGTCTTGAAGATTGATTTGTTTACTAGGACTGGTGTCCCAGTATGTAATGCATTTTGTGCATTATAGAAGATGTACCTAAACAACGGATGACCAAAGAATAGGAAGCAAAGTAACCAGTGATCAGCGTGATGAAGATGAACTATTCCGTAGAATGTAAATAAAAAGGCCGACAAATATCAAATAAAAGTACAATACGCGAGGATGTACGGCAAGACCGCCTATACCCAGGCGTGTAGGTTAGGGTCGAAGGTTTGACAGCCAAATGACCATAAAATCAATCAATCAATCAAGACAGTATAAACCGCCTCAAATCTTCAACCCGTAACTCCTAGCGACACCAACGACAGTGTTACCAAAGAAGGAAACACACTGCCCGACAACCTCAACCTTCTTAGCCAAAATATCCTTATCCTCAAACCTCCGCTCAACAAAGCTCTCGGTCTCACTCATATCCGGTGTCGGGTCGCGCGTCATCACAACCTCCGCACTGGCGTAGATAGCCGCAACGGCAGCACGGCGCGTGTACCAGCTCGCATCGACGGAGGTATCGCCAGCCAAACTGAGAATATCGTTCGAAAGAGCATGTAGTTCTGTGAGGGCGAGAGGGATGTTGCCTAGAAGAGACATTTGGGCGAGGGCCTGATTTTTGTTAGTACCGCAATCGCAAGAGATCTAGCGAATGACAAATTGAAAATGGGGGTGTATCCTACCTCCTGCCATTGTCCCCTGACTACCTCGTTCATCTTCATTCTCTTCATGATGAGTGTCTTAATCTTGGATTGGACATCCTGCCCCACGGGAAACTGGATTTCTCCACTTTCGACTGCTGCGCGGAGCAGTCCGCGGCGGCTGGCCAGCCAGAAGAGGATGAGGTCGTATTCGCCGTTAGGTAGGAGCTGGATGCTCACGTCCAGAAAGCCTGCATCGCGGGCACCAAGGAGAATGGATGTGTGGGTGAAGCCGTGGACTGGGGTGTGAGCGAGACTTGCTTCGAGGATCGCAATTTGGCTATTTGTGTATTCGTGGACTGGGAGGGCTGGGTGGAGAGTTGAGTGGTAGGGTCTTCTTGGTTGGAAGGATCGGTATTTGGGAAGTTGTGAGTGATGGCTTGGTGGTGTGGTTGTTGGTCGGGTTGTGCGGATAGAGGCGGTTGTGAGGGGGCGGAGAGATTGCGATGATTTGATGTAGGAGGTCAAGGCCCTTTGTGGGCAGATCCGGGCGATTGAGGCCATGGTTATTTGCAATTGGAGTTGGAGAAGGTGAAGTTTAGACTACGCGGAAGGAGTTCAAGTAAAGTTGCATGTTCGGTGGATCGGATCTGCACGTGCATGAGCACAGACGTTTTCTAGGCTAACGCAGATCAAAACTCAAGTTTCAACATGGGAATAGGGAATCATCGGAGAAACAGCGACACAGAAACAGATAAACAAAGAAAAAGAACCCCAAAAAATCTCCCCTAAAAGAACACAGATCATGTCAAGACATATTTTACATGATCTGATCTTGAGTGATGCCAGCAGTAGGCTCCGTATCCTCCATCATCTCGGGTCCAGGTCCAGCGTTCAAGTACTTAACAAAGGTGATGCCCAGGGGGCGACCACCGTACTGGTAACCAGTGAACTTGGCTGTACAGGTATTAGTATAAATTCTCCGTCAGGTAGGAAGATCATGACGTACAGATGGCAGTGTCAGCAGTGTCCGGAGTGTCAAACTCGACGACACCAGTGCCACGAGAGCGGCCGTTGGGCTCGTACTGGATCTCAGCCCGCTCAACCTTACCAATGGTCGAGAACAGGTCGATCAGGTCGTCGTTGCAAGTGGACCACGGAAGCTACCATCCTGTCAGCCTTGAGACCATAGACTAGGCCTAAACTTTGTACATACGTTGCGCACGTAGATAATCGCGCTCTTATCACCCCCGGAGGTAGCAAAATCGGTGAAGGGGTTCGGGGGAACGGAGGCAGCAGCCTGGTCGAAACCACCACCGAAGCCAGGAGCACCGCCAGGGGGACCACCAGGACCACCAAAACCGCCGCGGCCACCGAAGCCACCGCCGTAACCACCACGACCGCCGCCGAATCCTCCGCGGCCACCAAACCCACCAGGACCACCGAAGCCACCACGGCCTCCGCCGAAGCCGCCACGACCACCAAAGCCGGGGCCACCGCCAGCGAATCGATCCTCACGAACCTCCAGGGGTCGGCCCTGCCACTCGTATCCGTTGAATTGGGCAATGGCGTTACGCGCATCATCAGGAGATTCAAAAGCAACAATGCCAGAGCCCTTGGGACGGCCGGTGGGATCGGTGTGCACATCGGCGCGGATAACAGCACCCTGCTGAGCTAAAATCGAGGGAGTTCAAGTCAATTTCACCAAGCGTTCACAAAATAAAGAAAGGAAAGGGAAATGCCAAAAAAGCATCCAGCCAGTGCAAAACTTACCCGCTTGGCGGAAAAGATCCTTCAAGTCTTGCCATCCCACGTTGAAAGGAAGCTACAATGATGCGTTAACAGCCGGGCTTATCAAAATCAGTATCTCTGAGCCGGAGGATAACAAACGTTCGACACATAGAGCTGACGGCCAGGGGCACCTCCACCAGGAGGACCGCCATGGCCGCCACCAAATCCACCACCGAAGCCACCGCGGCCACCACCGCCGAAATCGCCGCGTGGGGGGCCACCGACGAAACGGGGCTCGGCTTCACGGTCCTATTGATTGATTCAGTATGTAACCCCTCATCCTTAACCTCGGTGAGCAGCATACCTCGCGGACATAAACAAGACGACCCATCAAGTTTTGATTGCTGAGCGAGTTGACTGCATTTTGTGCTTGCTCCCTCGTTGCGTACTCCACAATCCTGATGCGCATTAGCTCATTGTCCCCAAAATGATTTTCAAGTCATTGCAGCTTACCCGCATCCCTACAATATCCGGACGGCCAAGCCCAGCCCGTCAACCCAACAGTCCATGCAAGGAAACCAGAAACCACGAAAAATCAGGGAGTAGAAAGGGATCCAGCCACTCTACGTATTGGCGCCCACCTTCGACATTCCATTCGGAAGAAGTAACACATCGGCAAAGAGAACCTCTCCAGCTATAAGTCACCACCCAGCACCGGTCAGTCTTCCATTATGTTTTCAACACTCCCCCCGCATCGGATGCTTGCTCACCCTGTCTCATAAAATCTTTAAGGTGATGCCACTTGACGTCGTAGGCCAGGTTACCAACATAGACCCGACGGTCTTGTTGGGACGAGTCGCGAACGGATTGCATCATATTTTCTTTGCTGACTGAACGATCGTCGAATGATCTGCCCGGCGCGTAACCACTGCGTCCACCGTAGGGGGATCCCGATCCAGCTGCACCAGAAGCACTCAAGGGAGATCGCGAACGACGATCACTGCGACGGTAATCGTCACGGCTGCGAGAGCGACTGCGAGGAGTGTACGAGCGACGGCTACGTCGGGGGCTGCGAGAAGAACGACGACGGGGCGACCGAGATCTCTCACGCTGCTGCATTCGGTCAGAATCGGGGTAATCGGGGTATTCGGACATCTCAAGGGAGAGAGTTGCGGGGATCCGCAGACAATCGAGATGGATAAATTGAGGGGGAAAAATGAAATGCGAAAGTGGAAGGAGAGAAAATCAAGAGATGCGGGAATCCGATTGCAGAGATGGGTGGAGTAACAGGGAGTTTCGGGGGAGGTGGGTCAGGTGACTAGGAGGCTGAGACAACGCGAATCGAGGACCCCGGGGGACGCGGGAGAGGCTTGGACACAGCATCCCCAGCTTTGCGCACACAGCGCATTTTGTGCCGGTTGCTAGAGAGCCTCCAATGCATTGTGCGCGGGCATTTTTGGGTTTTTCTTCTCCTTACATCCAAGCTCGTGGATGATGGATCCCGTTCCATAGAAGCTTCCGCCCCCGCACTGACCATCCCGTCGCGATAGCTTCATGAGCGCATGTTGGAATCGCACCCTCATAGTTAGATGGATAGGAAAGATAGAAAAGTATTATACAGTATGTGAAGTAAGAAAAAAAAACCTCCCAAAGAAATCATCCGAAAACTTACTTGGTATGGTCGATAGACGTCGGCTAGACGAGTTAGTTAACAAGAATAACGATAAGGGGGAAATATGGAAGAGGGAAAGAGAAGGAAGGGAAAGCGGGGGAGAGCGAAAGAGAAGAAGGATCAGGCGTCAAGGTTCAACTTTGGGGGGTGAGCAGCACGGTGATTGGATGAGGGGGGAATGGCCGAGGGTGAGAATGTACCAAGGGGATATGAGGAGTAATGGGGAAAGAGGTATCGAGTATTACAAGATACATAGGAGAGGGGAAACACGCTGTGAGGGAGACGGGGAATGTGGAAATATTATAGACACGGAGCACATACCCATGATTGGAATCGTGGTGGTCAAGTTCGCGTTCGAGTGGTACAAAGTAGAAGAGAAAAGGTGGGGAGAAGAAGGTGAGAAGTTGGAAGAGGTGACGGGGGAAAGATTTGAGGTTGTTTTCCTTCTGATACTTGTAAACACCGAGCCCCACCGCCCTCCAGCATCGTCTTTCCAAGGTTATATTCGACGATTTCGTCCTGGATTGAGAGCTTTCCAGGTTTAGGATTTCTGTGATTCACTTCTGAAGCTTCGAAAGACTTGCAGTCTTGCAGTCTTGCTGCCATACATAAAATACCCGTTTAATTCATGCAGTGATAAAGGTGCCCACCATTATAAACCCGACCTTCCTATCACAGTCTGGCCTACGTGGTGTCACCATGCGTGACAGTGACTTGTGATTGTGACTGGTGTATTAATGTATTTCCAATACTCCAATTGCCACGCCCTTTCTCCTGACACATGGAACTCCAAAGGTAAATTCCTGAGGGATAAATTTCAAGATATAATTCCAAAATAACATTTCATTTACAACTCTACTCCAATGTCCTCAAACGAAAGTGCGGGTGCCCAATACCCAGGATATCAGAGAAAGAGGGGATCACTGCCAAAAGAAAAGAAAAAGAGAAGAAAAGGGTAATCCACATTGCGCCTCACCCGAAATGAACGCCTACAGGCCAATGGAAGGGTCACCAGAGCGAATGGACCAAAACACCTAAAAGCAAGCTAAGAAGTGTCGGGGAAGTTTCAGGATTGTGTGTACATGTACAACAGACAAACCCGAGAAAAATATCCATGGAAGCCAAAGATCATAGCCCAAAGGGGGGATATGGCAAGATGATAAAACAATGTCAAACATTGAAAAGAAGTGAAGGTGGTAAATGCGAAAGATGAAGCGTATGTCAAGTCATTCATGCAGCCACATTGGTCGGAGGGTAGCGGCCAGGGATTTTCATGTCAATGGCCACCACACTGTCCATCCTGTCCTGCTTTGATCGGTACAGGTCAGATCCAGTCATGGCGCCTTTGCCTCTGTCAGTGAAATCATCCCCGAGGGGTACAGTGCCGACAATGCCAACATCGCCGGACGACGGAGCCTCATCCACGGAAGTGGCCAAGGTGTTGTTGGTATAATCGGTCTGATTGGTGTTGGTTGGTGCGGTGGAGACGCTCTCACGACGAGCGACGTTAGGTGGAGCTGAGTTCTCACGACGGTCTGCGGCACCAATCACGCCGGACATCGCAGCTATCGAAGCGTGATCTCCGTCGGATCGGACCTCCCGATCATCAAGTGCTGACTCAGGTTGCTGGTCCTTCTGTTTGGTAACGACGGCAGCGGGTGCCATCCATTGGCCATAGTAGCTATCGTGTCGGCTCATTCGGTTACGAGACTGATTGCCAGGGCTCTGGCTGGCAACGCGCTGAGACCGGCTATCAGCGGCACCGTTCTGCTCATATAATTGCGAATTGGTGGCCTTGGCATTGTTGTCCGGGTAGCCCGCAGCAGCGGCAATCACGTCCCTACCACCTGAGCTGGCTCCGCTGGAGGGAGAGAGAGGTTCCTGCAGATGGCGGTCGATCTGGACATCACTGGGGAACGCACCACCGGCCTGGCGAGTGGCAGACATGGGCCGCTCCACCGGTCCTTGAGTCAGGATCACCGAGTCGGCAGAGTAAGGGGTCTGGTCGGCCTCATCATCTTCCAATACCTCGTTGTTCGACATGCCACTCACGGTACGCACGTGGCGCCGAACAGAGGCATGCCGAACGAAAGCGTCCCGGGCCTCTCCGGTTTTGTTGATCAGGCTCTCAATGTCCTCATACCACGACATCATCGTCTCGTGAGATTCCGCACGGAAGACCCAGGAGTGGCCTCGGTGCATGGCACCGGTCTGGCGGCCCTTGAGCATGAACTTGTGGGAGCTTGAATCCTCATTCGAATGCGAGCCCAACTTTTGCTCGGGCAGGTACAGGGACATGACTGGAGTCTGCCACTCCACCCTATCCGCCGACTTGAACTCATGCAAGTGAGTCGGGGACAAAACATACCAGCCTGGGGTATAGCTCTTCAGGTACTTGCTCTTGCGTTCCAGCATGCCAGCTCGTACCTCGGCCGCCGCAGGGTGATCCTTACCAGAGTAGGTGATGCTCTCCACGTTTCGCGGAGGGATCCGAGGATCGACTAGTTCATCGGTATTGGCGACAAACGCATTCCACTCATGATCCTGAGGCATGGAGATCGGACCCACGCGAAGCTTTTCCACGGTGTCATAAGCCTCATCCGCCTCCCGCTTGAGGATGCTAGCATAAGCATTGTAGGCCTTTTGGATCTCGCTGACCACAATCGACTCAAGCTCGCGGCCCGAGTTCTCCAAGTTCAAGTATGCCCGGTGCAGGTAGTTCTCCTCCTCAATCTGCTTTTCGACCTGGCGCTCCACATTCAGGCGCATCAAGAATGGGTCGCCTTTGCCTGATGTGGCGGACGGGTCGGTGTCCACCAGACCCAGGGATTCGTGCAGGTTGCGAACCGCCTTGCGCGTGCCGTCAATCTCCTTCTCGACGGTGTTCTTGAAATCGCCGGACAAGCTCTTGATCTCCTTTGTCTTCTTCTGTAGATCGCTGCGGAGGCCGGTCAATTGACTGATCACTTCGACCTCCACCTCAACGGCTTTGTTGGCTTCATTATATCCTTGTCGATGGAAATCGCGCAGCATCTCTGTCGCATCGGCGAGGCCACCCGACTGCAGGAACGCGGCGGGCGTCGTTTGGTTGTTAATGACATTTGAGGCGGATAGGAAGAGCTTGGATCGGGTCTCGTAGGATTTCTGTACTTCCTTGAAAAAGACAATCAAGTCCTTCAAGATCTTGCGCCAAGCTAGGAAACGTCATCTCACGTCAGTTCGGTCCGATAGACATAAAATTAGACTGCACAAAGTGCGGTTCTTATGTCCCCACACCCACATACCTTGGAAACGAGTTGATAGCACCTCGGTCGGGTTCCCACTCGTCGGGATAGGAACCATAAAAACACTATTCACATCTTCGGTCCCGTCGGGGTACTTCTCCCGGTCGCCGAGGCTTAAACTCTTCACACTGCCCGCACCCAGGGATCGCCGACTGCCATTGCGTCGCAAGCTACCCTTCTTGCTGAGGGAGGCTTTTTTGCGCAAGGTACTCGTCCCCTGGCGAGAAGGGGTGGTTGAACGAGCCTGGGACGCCGTCGAGGCCGACCGGTGCACGATGGATGGTGGACGGTCCAGCGCGATGGAGCTACGATGGCTAATCGTGTCGAGTTCTTCTTTGAATCTGGGATTATAGGGGATCTGTGACGACTGCTCGGGGGTGCCGTGGTTGTAGTGGAAGGCGGAACTGTTACCGGCGTATGAACTAGGTCGAGAGGAAGAACGCAGAGTGCCGTATCCGCGACTCAAAACAACCGGGTCATGAATGCTCGGGATCGAGTATGCATCCTGCACGGGCGTCTGTGGCCGCGCGGCCATGGCCATGACGGGAACGTGGGAAAAAGGAGCGGGATTCCGGGGATGTAAGGGTGAGAGATAAGGACCAGAAGAGTATAGTAGATCAAAAGACCAAAATCCAAGCAAACAAAGGGAACTAAAGTAAAGAAAAAAAGCGATCAATTCAGGGAAGATGGCGTGGAGTTGGTTACCAGGCGAACGGGGCTTAGTACTAGTAGACGTGCTAGTCTTGCATCTAGATTTCACCTGGTCGGGGGTTTGTAGGGTTTGTTCAAGGTGCCTTGTGAATTTTAAATTCTTTTCTGAAGTTCCAAATTTAAAAAGGAATTCCAAGGCCCCAGGATTATGATGAATATGTTTAAAGAAAAGGGGAGGGGTGAAGTAAATATGAAGCTGGGGCTTTAAATGACGTCTACGAGATTAAGAGGGGGGGTATATGACGAGCCAAAAAACCAGTTCACTCCGGGATGCCCGGCTCTCATATCATGAGGAGAAAGCCTAATTCTTGAAGATGGTTGACGTCGAGGACTTTCGGAAGTCTTGACCGTAGAGCCCAATGGTTCCTGAGATTTGCATTTGATGTATCGTGATAAGGGGGGGATCTCCAGAGCAAAAAGGGGGACTTTTTCTTTTTAATTTCTTTTTTAAAAAATACTGTATAGAGCACAATATACTTCCAAGTATAGTTCACTGCCCGATCAATCTGGCTGCCTGTCGTGGCTGACGGGTCTAGTGGAAAATGATTCGCACGATCTGTGGCTGAGGGGTCAAAAGGGGCACTTGACTATCCCCCTGATCGGCCAAGTATGAACATTGCATGACGTCGAGGCGATATCGAAGCTCTATCGAAAAATGAGATCTCCCTTTAATGCTCTCCATATGGCGGGAATCCCCCGCGTGCTTCCGATGATCGATCATCATGATCCTCGACTACGACGTCGCTGTTTCGTCGTAGCTGCCCGTTTCGGGGCAATCTGGATGATATCACATTTGGTCCTGATGCTGTTCCATGGTCATACACAACCAATTTTGAAAGGAATCTCCCGGTGGAGACGAACTCCGTAGGGCCGAAGTATCATGTGTGGTGCATGTGCTCCATAGATGTATGGTCGTCCATGGTTAAGGTGGTCGGTGTCTCCGATTCATCTGCATTCAGTGGTTTCTGCCACGAGTTCGAAACCAGGATCGATGATCCGAACTCACCTCCGAGGCTGCATGATACAAGAGTGTTGGTCATGTGGTGGTTGCTATACCACTATACCAAATGCAAGTTGCTGGATGAGTTGGAAGTCGGAGATGTCGATGTTTGATATACCCGCGTCATCATTGGCCCGTCTGGAACATCCCCTCCCCCGCTGTACATTGACTTCCACGTTTACCCAGACATCCCACTTCTTCCACTTGACCCATTGAGTCGCTGCTAGCTAGAGACGATCTTTAGGATAACATGCCGATCTGCATTGTGGTTTTTTGGAAGCAATGCTCATCAAAGGTACTGTAAAATTGCATCCCTGCTGTACAATATCTGGTCGGCATATGCTCATCATCTACGTCACCCAAACCCCAGATAAACACAAAGAAAATCGAATTGGATTGACGTGCCCGGCATGCTAGAGAGGCAACTATGATAAAGGGGGATAATTTACACAACGCGACCGGAGAACAGGAAATGGCATGAGAGAAACACAAGGAGACAATTTTATGATGCAGGTACCTTCCCTGTGGGAACGTCAATGCCGTATGCCTCCTTGATGCGCTCAGCGCGGCGCTCCTCGTAGTTGGGACCGTAGATACCTAGGTGTGCTGGTTAGTATCGTAATGCCGAATATATCGTTCCAATTGGAGGATCAAGGTCTCAACATACCACGTCCCTCACCAAGCTCGGCAAAGGTTTGTTCAGCCGGTGTCTGGTAGTTCTTCCGCAACTTCTGTCGGCGCTCGAACTCATCCTCTGAGCGGTCCTTCTGGTATCCGTACAGGCCATTGGTGTACTCGAAAGCGACGAGAACGGTGGAGAGTGCGACACCGTAACCGAGGACGGCGGGGAAGGCGCGGGCTGTACAATGGTTAATATATACCTCCAACATCCAAGCAATTGATAGGTTCTGATAATCACTGACCTCGCAGACCCAGGATAGAGCCAGAGAAGAAGCCACCAAGAGCAGTGTTCCAGGTATCATTCACTTCACGAAGGTTGGCGGAGGCGGTCTTCACAAATTCGTAGGTTCCACCCATCGCGGCTGAATCAATCAACATATTAGCATTTAATTGGCATTGAGCCTGCAGAAATAGAAAACATACCGAAGATACCGATGGTGCCTCCAGTGCGCATAAAGATGCCCATGGTGCCAACATTGCGGCGGGACAAGGTGTTCTGCACCGCGGATCCAAATAGACCAACAGCACCAGTAAGGGCAGTGGCCTTGGTGGCTGCTGCAATAGCATCCACTGGGTGGTAGTGGTGTTCCTCCTCGTGGTTCGCCATGGTGTGCTGAGAGGGATGGAGCTGCGGGTTAGACGGGAAGTTGACGATGGGATTTTGGAGGCGTTTTGCTAGTGTGTACCGCCTTCTCCTTTGGCCATACATTCTGCCAACCATGACACAGTTCTGCCATCCATGACCGAATATACGACCGCTCATTGTCCGGGGCCGATAGAGCTCATGCTAGGCATGACATAACAAGATCATCTTTTTGTTGGCGTTTCATCGCATTTATCTCTCCCCTACGGCTACAGAATACACCTCTATACATTGCGGTATTTTCATTTAACTTCGGTTGAAGCTCCCACCAAGCTTCCCGCCCGCTGAAGCCCAGTGCGGTGGGCTCCCCGCTGTACCTAGAATCTCGTCACACTACAGATTACCGTTGACGCCTGCACAGTCCCTTGACTAGGTCCCATGGGTTGATTGCCCTTGGGATCTCCTATATATCCGCTTACTCAGGCTTACGATCCGTTCATCTCATCTGTAATTGTCTGCCGCCTGTCCAAAAACCTGCATAATGGCCTATCTACAGACAGCGGGTTAGTACTCTGAAAGACGATTTGACCATGGCCTCTATCCACCTAGCAATACGTTACTAATTTCCTTTATCGTATAGGTAAAACCGCCCCACGTTTGGCTGAGGATATTCAGTTGTACGATGCCGTCTACCCTCCTGGCAACGGTCGCAACCTGCTCTCACAGGTCCCTCCAGTGTACCCTCCGAATTACCAAGGACCCCTAGAGTATATATCTCCAGATGCATGTCGACATAAATATGTGACAAAAACCGATCAAACCCACCTTGCTCAGGCAGATCAGCCTCGCAGACTAGGAATGTCTAAAGTATCTGCGATATGCTCTAGGTGCCGCCGTCATCTACAGGTGGTTGTCAACTATACAAATGGCATGGGTGCGTCAGGCAATGGCCCAGCGGGGCATGTTCATCACTTCGTATACAAGTCAGGACGGCAAAGAGGTCCCTGGACGACTGAGGAGGTGATGGGAACGGGACAGACCGCGGAAACGTTCCACTACCAATGTCTACACTATTCATGCTCGGCCGTGGTGTCGCTGCGAATTATGTCACCTCTTCTCAACGCAGAATTCACTCAATTGTTGACAGATCCGGATATAATTAAAAGGCGTGCTGATGAGGCATTTGCTTCTCAGCCAGAGCGCCTCGAAGGTGTAGCTGCACCTTTACCCATCACTGTCATGGATAATCTACGCCTCTATCTCACCAATGCACTCCGCCATGGTGACCGCAGCAAGCCTATCACCCAAGTAAACAAGCGGTTTATGGTTTCCTTTGGTGTAAAGGGAGAGCCTTGCAGGCAGTTGCTGGAATTCTTGGGATTTTCCCGTAACGAGGTCAGCTATCATCCAGTTTGCTCCTAAGCAAAGTGAATAAATGACGCTAACAAAAAGTTCAGAATGATGCTGCCTGGAACCCTCCTCCAGTGGACCCAAAGGCTGTATTGCCATATCAGGATGCCTTTTGCATTTTCCTCGACGATGCCATTCTTGAATTGGTCTGCTTGATCAACCAAAGACCTGCGTCAGAAAGACGTGTAATTCAGCCTACTCCCCTTCCTCCATCTGCGACAGACGACATTTTCAATGCCTTGGAGGCATCCGATTGTCCGTATAGACTCTGAGTACTCGTAAGGTCTTGCGACTGACTCTTGAAATAGATCCGAAATCCAAGCGTGTGCATGAGTTTGAAATGGCACCTGCTCCGTTAGTCCCTCCCCCCTTTGGAATTGAAAGGGTGTCCTAACAATCACTCTTTCTTACAGCTTCTACGAAGACCTTGGCGCTGTGGAGGACATGTCTGCTTCAATGATTGTAGAGGCATATCAACACCAAGTCCAGGCAGATCCATCACGATCTTCACGTTACTTGAATTGCCTTAAGGCAATTGGGACTCTTCGAGGTGGTGAGGACTGGGAGATTATCGACCAGGCTGTTCAATTCGCCTACTCGGAAGGAAGATACACGGATGACGACGTAACTGAAGCATATAGGTATTTTGGACATCAATATGGTGATTCCAATCTCACCGACGAGGCCATCATCGGTAAATTCTACGCGTTTCTTGGCTCAACGAATCAAGAAACAGAGGTACGGCGCCAGATGTGGATAATCGCCCAGGACCGTGGAAGTGAACGCATCAAGGCAGCGTCAGAAGATCGTGAGTGAATATCAAAATTACCCAGTAAGTGATCTGCTAACGACTCGGAAAAGGCGTTTCGACGGTCGAGCAGGCCCATGTTTTCCTTGGGGTTGATGATAAGACTCCAGATGATTTTATTATCACCATGTATACCGCAAAGGTAAGCCCATATCACTTCTCGAACTTTTCACGCATGGCTCACATAAAGATAAAAAAGGTCAACGACAACCCCCTTTGCAAAGATTTGGCCGACAAAGCAGTACAACTCATCGCAGAGTCTCGCAAGTCTGACGGTCTGAATCATTTCATCAAAACAGGAGAGACGGTTGCCGGGGACATGGATAGCGGGGACGCGTACCGAATGCTTCAAATCCCTGACCGAACTGCAGACGAAGATGCCGTCATGGCTGCTTACACAATCTGTGTAGATGAGAACCCTGGTCAAGCTGATGTCTATGGCCGCGCCCTCCGTCTCATTGCCAGGGAAATGGACAGCACCTTGCTAAAGAGCATGGCAGGCATCACCACTGAGACGGAGCAGAACCTGTCTGAATGGCCCGTCGGACTGCAGAATATCGGCAATACCTGCTACCTGAACAGTCTTCTTCAGTTCTACTTTTCTATCAAGCCATATAGAGAACTGGTCTTGAATATTGAGAAATACCAAATGGACACGGCCAATGAAGTTAGCATGACAGGAAAGAAGGTGGGATCTCGCAGTGTGTCTGGAAAGGAAATCGAGCGCTCACTTCGATGTAAGTTTTACGTTTCCTCAGTGTGACTCGACAGTATACTGATTCAATTCAGTCCTCACGGAACTCAGGATTCTCTTCCGCGATATGATTTCCTCGAATAAATCTTACGTCACCCCCAGCCAGGAGCTTGCTCGGTTGACTCTCATCAGTCCAGGAAACGAAGCAGCGATTCGGCGGCGGTCGACAATAAGCGCTTCCAGGAGTCACGGTCTTGGCGATATCAATGGGGCCCCTGTCTTGGGCCCGCTTGGTCCCCCTCAAACTATTGCTGAGGACCAGAAGGAACAGCAAACCAGTTCTGTGGCCACAGACAATGTTGCGATCAGTGATGCAGGGAGTGAGGCAACCTTGGTGTCTGAGAATAATGGCAAGGGCATCGTTGCGCCATCCATAGATGCCGAGCCAATTAGTGAAGGCTATGTGAACATCTCGCCGACTCAGACTGAGCCTCCTGCCCGTCCGCCACCTGTTCCTCCACGGCCTGCTCCAGAGATAGACCCCAAGAAGCAGCTGATAGAAGAAGTGGAGATTGGTGCGCAGCAGGATGTTACAGAGGTCATCAACAACGTACTCTTCCAGAGCCAGTGCGCCATCAAGCCTAGAGAGGTTGCCTCGGATGGTGAGCAAGTTGACCATGTCAAAGAGTGAGTGTCCCCACAGTTTTTTTTCTCGTCCTGCAATACTAAAATCTTCCAGTATGTTCTATGGCCAGACTCGGTCCTACATAACCACTTCCGCGGGCACGCGGTCGAAGGATGAACGCTGGTGTGATATCAAAGTTAACGTGGCTCTTGGACCTCGGGACATCTATGATGCCATTGATGGTGCCTTTGATGTCCAGAAGATTAGCGTTGAGAACGCTGAGGCGGAGCAATACGGATCCATCACCCGCATTCCCCCAATCCTCCAAATCCAGGTGCAGCGTGTACAATTTGATCCGGTGAAGAAGTCTTCCTACAAGTCGACCAATCATTTGCAGCTTTTTGAAACGATCTACATGGATCGTTATATGGAACACAGTTCCAGGCCAGATCTGCTGGAGGCGAGACGTCAGTGCTGGGAGTGGAAGAAAAGTCTTTCCGGTATCGAAGCACGCCAAGCAGAGCTGCTGCGCAAACAGGTATGATCATATGAGGATATATCGAGGTCACGAAGCTAATTCTGCTGTAGGAAAATGATAGTCTTGACATGGCAGCTCTCTTCCGCGATGCCAAGGCTGTGCTCGATGACTCGAGTCTGGACGATAAGAGCAAGAGGCAAGAGGACTTTATGATGCTGGAGGCCGTGGAGCCGTCGACTAAACCTAGCTCTGATCCCGATAATCTGGAGATTGACGCACAGCTCTCTGAGGAGCTCCAACAGATCTCGGAGGAGGTGGAGATAGAGTACCAGGGTGAGAACAGGTGTCTTTCACTTTGCAACAGAACCTTACACTAACATCGAGCAGCTCTCGAGCAGCAGATTTCAGCCACAAAAGAGCTTATTGCCGGCAAGTTCGCCAACTCCCAGAACGTCCCGTACCACCTGTACGCGGTATTTGTTCACCGCGGATCCGTTTCATTCGGCCATTACTGGATCTACATTAAAGACTTCCAGAAAAACATCTGGCGCAAATACAACGACGAGTACGTCACTGAAGTCCAGAATTTGGACGAAATATTCGGAAACAAGGATGATGCCAACCCGCCCACCCCCTACTTCCTTGTCTACATCCACGGATCCAAGAAGGATCTTCTGGTTAATCCCGTCTGCCGCGATATTGTGAAGGACCAAGAAGGAGAGACTTCCGCAAATGAACCCTCTGCCATGGAGGGCATTCTCACCCCGAATCCTATCGAACACGCACACCAGAACTCTGTGACTGACCAGCAGGCTCCGTCGGCTCCTGCTGCGAATGAGGAATCTCAGGATGTCAACATGAAGGATCCTTGGTAGGTCATATTTGGTGTATCCGCACCTAGCGACAGGCAAGCTTTGACTATGATGATGATGATGACGTTTTTCTCTCTTATTTGCCGCTCCTCTTCTATCATGCATTCCCATGTCTCTTTATGTCTCCTGCATCAGCGAGGATATCATGTTTGTGTACATAAATGAAGATATCATGGACCAAGAATCTAGAGCCCTGGATTACTACATGCGGTACTTTCCAATGTATTTCCATATACCTAGTCCGTAGATTCCTACAATGCACGAGAGTGTTTATTTCTCAACAATTAGTATACATCCTGCGTTGAATGATTGAAGTTCACTAGAGAATGACATGTAGATGGTGTTTAACTCTTAAAGAAATCGCTGGTAATATGATGCGATTGGCAATCATGGTGCAATAATTGCCGGCTATCTGAACGGCAGTTGGTCGTTCACTTGGAATTCATCTTAACTTATCTTTGGTACATCGAAGTGTCGCCCCTAGAGATCCATGGATCCATAGGATGACTCAGCAGACGGCGGCCCGCGGGATCGGCTGCGGATCGGTTGTTTCGGCTGCGACATTGGTGATATTTCTCCAAAGTCAGGGACATATCTATTCGATGTTATAAATTGGTAAATATGTGCAATGGTATACCTATGAGAGGACTCTTTGTAAGGTTTTAGTTAAATGGCTCTATTGCGCTCCTTCTAATAGAGTACATTGTGTCATGTCTGGCCAAATCATTCTGCGGGGAACTCCAGAGTGGATCCGAGCGGATTCTTGCCGCCCCCGGAACTATAAGTTGTCACCCGCGGTCCTTGCCTCGGAATTCATCGTCTTAGGCTCTCCCTTCCCTCTATTCTTCTCTCCTCAAGCGCCCCGACTAGATTTTACTGCATTGCTTTATACCCACAGTCATGCCTTCTCAAGTGGCTACATGTCTGCGCCTTGCGCGACAGTTCTCTGCTAATCCGACCAAGGTAAGCTTCATTCCCCGCGTAACGAACTGGCATTCGGACTCATGGCTGATCGGGTTCGCCACAACAGCACCAACGCTTTCTCGCACGCTCTTTCTCCAGCACTATTCACCGTGCCGCAATCAACAAGGTTGTTGCCTCAGCCGAAGAAGCCGTTAAAGACATGAAATCGAATACCACCGTCCTCGCTGGTGGATTCGGGTTATGTGGTGTACCAGACTCGCTCATCAACGCCGTGCGCGCCAATCCCTCCATCACCGGTCTCACGGTCGCTAGCAATAACGCGGGTGTCGATGGCTCCGGCCTCGGTCTTCTCTTGCAGTCCAAGCAGATCAAGAAGATGATTGCTAGTTATGTTGGCGAAAACAAGACCTTTGAACGCATGTACTTGACTGGCGAAATTGAGCTCGAACTCACACCACAGGGCACCCTTGCGGAGCGGTGTCGCTCCGGTGGTGCTGGTGTTCCAGCTTTCTACACACCTGCGGCCTTTGGAACCGTCGTACAAACCGGCGATCTGCCGCTGAAGCACAATGCCGACGGTACCGTTGCGCTCTACAGCCAGCCGCGCGACGTGAAGGTGTTCGATGGAAAGAGCTATGTTATGGAGGAGGCTATCAAAGGTGATTACGCGTTCGTCAAAGCGTGGAAGGCCGATAAGCTGGGCAATTGCCAGTTCCGATACGCCGCAGCCAATTTCAATGGTGCAATGGGTCGCAATGCGAAGATGACCATCGTGGAGGCGGAACACATTGTCGAGCCCGGTGATATTGATCCGGCTGCTATTCACCTGCCTGGTATTTATGTGAAGCGAGTCATTCAGAGCACAACGGAGAAGAAGATTGAGAAGTACACTTTTGCTAAGGAGGAGGGCGCCGATAACTCGGCACTTGGCAAGGGTGAAACTGCCAATAAGCGTGAGCGCATTGTCCGTCGCGCAGCCAAGGAGTTCAAGAACGGCATGTATGCGAATCTGGGTATTGGCATGCCCATGCTGGCACCGAACTTTGTCGACCCCTCCGTTGAGGTGACTCTGCAGTCTGAGAACGGTATCCTCGGACTCGGGCCGTACCCCAAGAAGGGTGAGGAGGATCCCGATCTTATCAACGCCGGCAAGGAAACTGTCACACTTAACCCCGGTGCCTCATGCTTTGGCAGTGATGAGTCCTTCGGCATGATTCGCTCTGGCCGCATCGACCTTACCATTTTGGGTGCCATGCAGGTTAGCGCGAAGGGTGATCTTGCTAACTGGATGCTGCCTGGCAAGATCAAGGGCTTCGGTGGTGCGATGGATCTTGTGTCGAACCCGGCTGCTACTAAGGTCGTTGTGACTATGGAGCACACCGACAAGAAGGGCAACCCCAAGATTGTCAAGCAGTGCGAGTTCCCACTGACTGGGCCCGCTTGTGTTAGCCGCATCATCACTGATCTTTGCGTCTTTGACGTTGACTTTACCGATGGTTTGACTCTGGTTGAGATCGCCGACGGCGTTACTGTCGAGGAGATCACTGCTAAGACAGAGGCCCCATTCAAGGTTTCTGACGACCTGAAGCCCATGCTGTAAAAATGCGCATGTTCTCGTCATTTCCTGAATTTTATACCGACCAAGCGTTACATACCATTTTGTATATAGGCAATTTCTGATGCCGTCATGGCTTTAATGGAGTTCATCTACACTAGCTTTTCCATAAGTTCATCCCTTCAGCACCCATTAGCCGTCTCACGGGTTAGGTGTTTTGTTTTTCATGTAAATAGAGTAGTGATACAGTTCGATCCCGCAGAATAGCGGTACAAATACAAGTACGTATGCAATCCCATAAAACCCCAAATTCCAAATACGAATATCAAACAGAGATACCGCAGGAAAGAAAACAAACCCCCCAATTATATATAGAAAACATTGAACATGGTGAAAGAAAACTTAAACTCGATCTCCGTGTTCATCATGAAAACCGGAACAATCCACCCAAGCGAGCCTTTATCCGGCCAAAGAAGTCTCGATCGGGTGCCTCCTCAAACTCGCGCACAACATTGTCATAGTGATCGGGGTCGCTGGCTGGATAACGGATCTTATTCGACATGGGATAGCGACGGGAGAAGCGATCTTCAAGGAGTGCTTGCAACGCGTTTGCGGAGGACTCGGAGATCACGGGCTGTCTGAAGGGCACGGCATCGGGATCGGCCTTGGACTTTTTGGGTTCGACCTCGGGCTTTTGGCCTAGAGCGGCTTGCAGGTAGGCTTGCACGGAGACGGAGGCTGGGCGGACTTTGTCTACAGGCCAGTGCTTGAGGAGGTGGGTGAGACGTGTTTGGATGGTACGCTGGGGTGTATTAGTGATATGAATTTCAATCATGATAGTAATGCGCAATTGAATTGCAAGGTTCAAGAGGGCAAACTCACTGGAGGAGTAGCCATGTTGGGTGTGTAGAGGGAAAATGTTCAATGTATAAAATGATCGGATCATCAAATCATCAAATGCGAATCTATTTTCATTTGTCATCTGCACTGCCTCAGGCCTCGACCACTCCCTGTTGCCTTAACGATTACGGAACCCGGCGCTTCCTGTCGACACTTCCAAGGTTCCATTCTCACCCTTATTCATTTCCTTCCCTAAATTGCTTTCTTTCCTTTGCTTTCGTTTAATACTGTTTTCCCTTCTCCTACTCCCGCTCAGCTCGCCATGAGCTCGCAGCGCTATACCCGGGTTCGTCATCCTCCCCGCTGATCCCACTCATGTCCGGATGCTCGAGGCACCCCAGATAACGATCCTGATCTGATCTAACATTATACAGGTGAATGCCCAAGATGAAGAAGATAACGCCCACTCTTATCCGCTGCACCCTACTCGATCAAATGTCTCACCAAACTCTCCGCCTCCCTCCTTCCGTTCCCGGTCCTCTTCGCCATCATCAAGACGATTACTCCATGGCGATCCTATTACACATGAAGATGATCACGCCCTAGCCGATGCCTTTGGAAGTGAGGATGGCTCCGATGACGATGAAGAGCCTGATGACCGACAACGGCTGATGCGTGCCAACCCGGATCCCTATAGTCCCGCGGACAACGGTCAGACCGCCACCTCGTCCTCGTCGGAATCCAGAACCGAGAGCCAAGATCGTTCAGCGGCGTCGGCGATGACTCGACGGCCAACGATATTACCAACTTTTACCACGTCCGGCAACAGTCGGTCGGTTGCGCCATCAAATGATGGTGTCTTTGCCAATCTAGCAGCTAAGCCGGAACGGGGAGAAAAGAATGAGGATTTGCCTCCTGTGAGTGATTTATTAATATCACATTCTCTGCTGTTCATGAATATATCAAGATCGGTTGCTAATCAAGTGAATCTTATAGTCTTATGAAGAAGCGGCCGCCGATGCAACCCCGCCGTACTGGGAGACCACGATTGTGGCGCCCGGTATCTCTTCCGATGAAGTTTACGTCGATGGGCTTCCCGTTGGATCAATATTCTCGTTTATTTGGAATGCGATGATTTCGATGTCATTCCAGTTGGTCGGTTTCCTCCTGACTTATCTTCTCCACACCACCCACGCCGCAAAGAACGGCAGCCGAGCCGGTCTCGGTCTCACCCTGGTTCAATACGGTTTCTACATGAAGGGAGGCAGCGACTCTTCCACTTCCGATGGAAGTGGTGGTGATTCATACGTTCCGCCACCCGACCCCAACAGCCATAACTTTGATCCCAACTCAGTGGGAGACACCGCCGGAAGTGATGGTGGATCCATGGCCGGTATCAGTACCAGCGAATGGATTTCATATATACTCATGATCGTCGGTTGGTTCATCCTTATTCGTGCTGTGAGCGATTTCTTGCGGGCTCGCCGCCATGAGCAGCTTGTGTTACAAAGTCCCGATCGTGGTCTGGGTGTACCTATCATCGCGGAGGGAGAGCGGTCTGAAACCGTCGTCTAATGTTCATGGAATTGGCTTTTTATTTGGGAAATGGGATAGGATTTGTCATTTGCGGCGCTAACCGGACCGGAGTTCTTCACTTTCATTTGTATGAACATCCCATTTGGCGGAGGACTCCCTCCTTTTATTATATTATTCTCCTATGCATCGTGCGTCTTACTTTTTTATATTTACTACAGCCTTGTAGCTAGTCATGCGGGAGATACCACATGTTGAATACGTCAACCCATCAATTTTCTTTTTCTCGTTAAAAACTTCTTCCAAAAAGGGTTATCGTTTCTAGTAAACAGTGGTAATAACGCATACAGTCCCTAGCTACGAAATGGACAACCTGCAGGAGGGGTATAAGGCGTGTGCCCATTACCTCTTGCGTCAACATCTACCCAAGTGGTAGGGCGACACGCAATAACATAGTTACCTGGTAGTAAATAGCTGCCCAGTAGCAGATAGACACTTGGGTTCCGGAGTTCCTGGGTACCTGGGTACCTCCTAGACTGTTCAAGAGCTCAAACTCAAAACCAAAGTCAAACACTGTAAGCCTGTGGTAGACTAGTGTCTATATTACATTCGCAGCTAGAGATCGTACGCAGATCTCAACGTAATCAACGACCGTTGCCTACGCAGGCCGCGTACTGCGCCACGATCAGGCTTAACAGTTCGTCGCAGGCCCTTGCTTCTTTAAATCTTGGTTTCAGGCCAGAGTGTTACGTCGGCAATAGGGAACATTCAATAAATAAAAGTCGTCAGGCCCCAGCGATTGCGCCAGGGCCCGCCCACTACCGAACCGGACCCGCTTTCTACCTGTTTACTCGCAGCGCATCCCTCTCCAAATCACCCCTTCTGTACTACTCGCATTGAGGATTCACTTTCTACGGCCGGCGCATCGCAGCCGTGCCGTCATGTCTACCGTTACCGCGACCCAAGGCCCCGTCGAGGCTCGCTCCCTGTCGTCGATCACCGCCATCGCATCCAATCCCCCCGCCTATCCGCGCAATCCCACACACGAGAAGCTTGACCCGCTAGTACTATATATCGTACGGGTTCCTGGGAGTCAAGGTACGTGATTTTGCAGAGATGACGATAATCTCTTCCGTCCTCCCCGCACTGCGAAAAGACCTTATCGGAGCCTGGAGAGATAAGCTGAATATTGACATGACGCACGAACAGACATCTTCCTCTCACCTCTGAAACCGCCAACGAAATCTAGCGTCTCGGCCGAGGCGATCAATGCATCACTTTTCTATCTACACGTTGCGACACCCGAGGATGATGCGCTGCTGCAGGAGGTTGAGCTCGAGCGCGAGAAGGAAACACAACGCCGAAGGGAAGAGCTTGAGGCGGCCGGTCTCGATGACCCTTCCCAGCGGGAATTTGCCCGTTTAAACCACCCCCGAAGGAAGCCTGTAGGTGGTGCAGAGAGTACTGCGGATAATGCGCCAGCTTTGATGCAAGAGAATGTCACTGTCCCGGGTAATAATGCTCCTGCGTTGCCGCCACGACGACCAGTCGCTATGCCGCAGTTCTCGGCGGAGAATATATCTTTCCCGGCGATGCCTGTTGCCAATGCACCACTGGCTCCTAGCTACGAGCCTGTTAAGGCACCCCTGGAGCCCGCAGGTCAGAGTCCGATCTCGCGGCGACCTTTACCTCCTCTGCCGCCTAGTGAAGAGCCCTTCAGCGGGCATCCAGGCGATGAAGCACAATTAGGAACGCCAAACCGGTGGAGCGCATTCGTGGGACAGGAATCTGGTAAGGGGCGAGATTCATGGAAGGATAAATTTGGGGCTTTCGCGGCTGGCCGTCATAGTCTTGATGCAAATCGGCCGCCATTACCGCCTCGCTCGACACAGCCCCGGACAGCGTCACCGTCAAGAAGTCCTGGTCAGTCGCCTTCTAGACAGAGAAAGGCACATCGGCCACCTCCAATCGATAGCAATAACGCCAATAATGCTGGTTTCCGTCTTACGCTCATCCGGCGTGACCCCGCGTCTGGTACGCAGTGGAATGTCGCAACGATCTCAACTCCGCACATGGATCATAATGCAATCGAGATTGAGATTGCTACGCCGGGATATAACAGATTTGCTGGCTCTGATGAGCCACTGTCGCTTGCCAGTCTAGCTGCTAACCTCCCGGCGGGAATGGTGCGAAACTCTGGATCTTCCATACCGGTTCCACCATCATTACACGTCGATAAACCCCACGAGCAGCCTCAGCAGCAGCCATCATTTGGACCACGCAAGTTCCATCGCCAGCTATGCGTCTCCAAACCATTTGAAGATTCTGTAAGCTCAGAATTGAAGAGCGGCTACTACGTCTTCAATTCGCCCTGGAACGGCACCTGCACATTCGCCAGCAGCGTCAACGGCCGCAGCCTAAAATGCAAACACATGATCCAAGGTCCAGTCGGTACACCTCAGCCAGGCGACGACCCCAACCCAGCCGTAACAGTCGCCGAACTCCGCTTCAACACGCCCTTTCAAGCCGCAAACCTTCACTACCACGCCGCACCACGAACACCCACAAATCAACACTCCTCTCCAACATCCACGTACGACCCCTCAAGCCTAGAAAACCAGTCCTCAAAACGAGCCTCTCTATCTCAATTCCTGAATCCAAATACCTATGCCCGACCTCGTGCTCACTCTGGTCCCAATGCCCTTTCAACTTCAACTCCGAATACTGCTGATCCCCAGCGTCCCCCGTTTAACCCTGCTGCTTTACTCCGGCGAACATCCCTCCGCGCGGGCCGCTTTGCACAGCAGCAGAGTAATCGGTTTGGGCATCAGCCTTTACATCACCGGAGTGTAAGTGCTAGTAGTGGAGATTCGGATGAGGATCGATTGGACTTTTCGCTTGCAAGGGAGCTTGCTGGGGGTGGGATGAGGGGGAAGAGTGCTAAACTGGGAAAATTGATCATTGAGGACGAGGGAATTAAGATGCTGGATTTGGTTGTTTCAGCTTGTATGGCTGTTTGGTGGAGGGGATATTATCACTGATGATTCTCTTTGGATGATTGATTGCATGAAGTTGGATTTCTTGCTCCCATTTTGGCTTTTTATACTTTTCTAGCTTTTTGGCTTTGCGTGGGGTTATGGTTAGTTTTAGCGTTTCATACCATACTAGCATATGAGAGCGTCTTTACTTGTTTCTCTTCCTTCTATGGGTGTAGATATGGCAGTGGATGTAGCGTGAGACCGTCATTTGATTCCACCTTTATAAATACTACATAAAAGGGACCACTACCAACCAAATCTTATCTGAACATTGCAGCCGAATCTCCATTTTGGCATTTTGGTATGTTTGGACCACGGACAAACCATCTATCTATCTGATCCAACAAAAAAACAAGGTAGGGAGGGAGCGGAGATTCAAATCATGAGACCAAAGACTCAAGCCCCATGGATAGCGTGAGGACCCATGAACACACCAGCAGACCAGATACAACGATGAACGCAAAGCGAGGAAGGACAAGCGAAATTAAAATAAAAAAACACAAAGCACGAGGAATCTGAATCTGGATCAAGCAAAACAAAACAAATCATGCAATCGTCCGGCCTTTCTCTCGGAGGTATCTCTTTGCTAATTCATTATATCGACATGCAGGGGGGTTGAGTGCTTGGCATAGCGGGCCGAATCGAGCTGAATACGAGGAAAACACAATGGCCAGACCAAGGAAGGAAGGTGGGGGGAAGGAAAGAAAGGGAAGAGAGATCAGTGGTGAACATCCATGCCGCGCTGCAGCGAGGACTCCAGGTCATTCAGGTGACCACCGCCGGCGGCAGCCTCCTGGGGTCTGGGGTCCTCGGTCTTCCAGGCACCCTGCTGGTGTTCCGGGATAGGAACGTTGGTCTGTTGGGCCATCTGCTGTTGTTGAGCGGCGTGAGCCTGGGACTGCTGGCGGACGGTATTACGGAAGCGAATGACCTCATCAAGGATCATCTTGCGCATATCATGGACCTCGTCGACGACCTCGAAATGGAAGTCGAAGGTGGTGGGGCATGTGGGTTCGTCGGAGGCGTCGTGCCAGATGTGCAGGTAGGGGTGCTCGAGGGCTTCCTCGACGGAGATACGGGAGGAGGGATCGAAGGCTAGCATACGGTCCAGCAGATCCAGGGCATCGGGGTTGGCGTTGGGGAACAGGCGCTGGAAGGGGATCTTGGGCATGAAGGGCAGGTTGCGGACGTATTCCTGGGCGCGGGGGGAGCCGATGCGCGCAAGGGTCTCTTCGTTGGGAGTACCCAAGTAGTGCAGGATCTGGTTCAGCTGGTCGACGTAGTCACGACCCTTGAAGAAGGGACGGCCACCCAGCAGTTCGGCGAGAATACATCCCACTGACCACACATCGACTGTATTTGTGTTAGAATTTCACCTCCAAGGTAAAGGGAATGACTGTTCATCACATACTGGCTTTGGTGTAGCTCTGGAAGCTCAACATGATCTCCGGAGCGCGATACCATCTTGTCGCAACGTACTCGGTCATGTAACCGGCATTCTCCTCGGGGTCAATGGAGAAACCACGGGCCAGACCGAAGTCGCAAATCTTCAGCTCACAGTCGGCATTGACGAGCAGATTTCCGGGTTTCAGATCGCGGTGCAGCACGTTGGCTGAGTGGATGTACTTAAGACCACAGAGGATCTGGTAGATGAAGGATTGGAAGTGCGCGTCGGTCAAGGGCTGTCCAGAACGAATGATGGCCGCCAGGTCGCACTCCATCAATTCTATAATATTGTCAGAACCCGTTTCCATCGCATATACGGCAAGCTCCGAGCAGGGAGCCACAAACCCTCATAAAGATATGTTTCGTTGAAGTTGTCCGGTCGGGGGATGTCCATATCGTAAAGGCATGTAATCTAAGGAGGGGTCGCAAGTCAGCCTCACGTTCATGTTATCGGTGGCGGGAGAAAGACATACATTGCGGTGGCCCCGGAAGTGCTGCAGTAGCTTGATCTCTCTCAGAGCTCGCTTGGCGAGAATCTTCTTGCTGAACACGTTGGTGACCTTCTTCACGGCGACACCTTCGCCGGTCTGCACGTTGGTGGCAGCACTGTTGACGACATCAGCCCTCAGCCCACCCCCTCGCGGTAAATCAAAGCACCACGCGAGCTCCTGGAAAGCGTCGAGAAAACCTACCAGACGATACCGTACGCGCCCTGGCCCAGCTCTTTAGTGACATTGTACTGCTCGTTCACGATGAAGTCCTGGTTGAAGACCTTGAAGACCTTGCGACCTTGCAAATCAGCCATAATGGGGAATTCTTCACCAGGAAGGGAGGAATGACGGAAGTTGGGATTTGAGGGAATCCAGAAAAGTCGAGAGCGAAAGAAGAGAACGCTGGCACAATTAAAAAGGGGAGGCGACTCGACGTGTGATGAGAAACAAGAGCCCCGCAGTCCCCGCGGGTGATCGGAGCGTCGGTTGGATGAGGCCACGCAAGTATATTAAAGGCTGTGGGATCAAGGTGTCTTGCATGTAATTAAATCCAGGCCCTCGAAATTCTGTCGTCTTCTTTTCGTCTCTCTTTATCGAACGAAATTGAAAGAAAACATCCCATTCTTTGTTTGAGACGCCTTTTTCTTCCAGCCCTATCGGTTCCAAGGTTTGAACTAGGCCCTGGACACAAAGACGTTCAATCCATACAGATCTAGTACTGCCATATCTTGAGATTACAAGGGCTTCATTTCAATTTCTGTAATTCGGCAGCACATCGTTCCAATGCGTTTAAATCTTTATGTTCGAGACAAGCGCTGCTTACGCCTTCAGCTAATACCCTAAGCTTTGAGAAGCACCTGGGTGCACAACCTTGGAGCACCCAGGTCTTCTAAACCTTTCTCGACTCACGGCCCTAATCTAGTAGCTTGGTTGACTGTTGCCTGCTACCTTCGCACCATATGCTTGTTTGGAAGGCAGAATAATTTCATGATTGTTTGTTTCCCATTGCCATAGGCCGTGGGCATTCATCATAAGACAGGTCGAACATCATGTCACCCAGGATATAAGAATGGTATTCTCGAAGTTTTCTAATGATCTCATTTGGAGGACCTGGTTTCATAATGAAAAAAATAGCTCTAGCCTCCCTAGGACACAATCTACACTGGGTAATGTTTGATTAGTACTAATAGTAGTTGTCTCGGTCAAAGGAGGCTGAAAAGGAGGCTGGGAATCAGATGGTGCCCTTATCTACCCAGTGACTAGACCTACGATTGCTATATTCTTCACCCCCGAGAAGGATTTTCCATTCTTTTTAAGCTCATTTCTAGCAAATCTCTGCTGTTTTCAGTTATTGAACTATGGAAAAGACTTTTTAGGCCAATGTAGAGTCTTAAGTGTCTTCATCCAGGCGAAGTGTCTCTAATAATAATGCTGCTGATTGTCAGGACCACTCGTGAGGGCGGAGACCTGGAAAAGGTTAGAGACTCATGAGCGGCAGGTTTGAGCTTTTAATAGTAGCACCAAGTGATCGCCTTCGAATAAGTACTCGGGGCGATTCCGATCAGGGAGATTTCGATCTACCCAAGATGTTTTCGCTTGAAGGATGCCCGCCTTCCGTATCCCAATCCAGACCTAGTTCACTCTACTACATTTATTATCTGTGGAATATATTGACTTTCAGAAGACTGTTCGCATGCACTTCATTTCACTTTTTCATAAGTCGGTAACACATCTCTACATTCCCCTTGTCGATTTCTCTCCTCAAAGAGCGTTCACCAATCGGCGCTCCTTGCGCAATGCCCGGAGTTTGGTCCGCACCTCGTCCAGGGGAATCATGACACCCTGCTTCTGACTGGCAGGGTCATCACGGTTGCGAACGTTCACGGTGCGTCCTTCTTTTTCCTGCGCACCCACAACAAAGATGAAGTTGTACATGGCCAACTGAGCAGTGCGGATTTTCTTAGGCAATGTGTTGCCACTGATGTCAATGTCGACATTCAGCTTGTCACCACGCAGAATCTCCTGTAACTCCTCGGCATACTCGTTCAGAGCGGGCATGACGGGCACAATCATGACCTGGCGCGGACTGAGCCAGAAGGGCCACCTGCCGGCGTAGTGCTCGATAATGATACCTAAGAATCGCTCAAAGCTACCAATGATGGCCCGGTGAATGACAACGGGGCGGGCACGGCCAACCGGCAGCTCATTGGAGTTGGTCTTAGCCTGGGCTTCCTCACCTTCCTTCGGTTCTTGAATCATCTGCTTTTCACCCTTCTCATTGGTGATGTACTGCATATTGAAGTTAATCGGAGCTTGATAGTCTAATTGTATAGTGGCACATTGAAAGTCTCTCTTTAAAAAATTTCATCCCAACATTAGTATTTCTTTTCGCAGGCCAGCAATAGCATTAAAGATTGAACTTACCTGCAGTGCATCGGCAATGGTAATGTCAATCTTGGGGCCGTAGAAGGCACCGTCACCCTCGTCAATGGTCCAGTCATCACCCTTGAACTTGGTCAAGGCCTTCTTGAGCTGATCCTCAGCATAGTCCCAGGTATCAAGCGAGCCCAGGTACTTTTCGGGGCGGGTCGACAGCTTCAACTTGAATGTGAAGCCAAAGAGACCGTAGATAGATTGCAGGAAGTCAAACAACCCCTCAATCTCAGACATGATCTGGTCCTGGGTACAGAAGATGTGGGTGTCATCCTGCTGGAACTTGCGCACGCGGGTCAGTCCACTCAAAGCTCCCGAGGCTTCGTTACGGTGCAGGACACTAATAGATAGTCAGTATAATTTCTTTCGGATGAGAAGTCATGCGACTTGCCCGAAATCTGCCAGCCTCATTGGAAGCGAACGGTGAGACCTCGTCGTGTGATTGAAAGTCAAAAAGTGCGCAGGACCTATATAGCCCGTTCGTCAGCAATGTTTTGTATGCAGCCGGAGAAGAGTTACCAACAATTCATGGGTTTAAGCTGCCGATACGAATTAGATCCAGTGTGAGAAGGGGGTCGGGGACAGGTTACATACAGCCCACTCGCGCTTCTCAACGTCGAGCTTGAACATGTCATCCTTGTAATGAGCCCAGTGACCGGAAGTCTTCCAGAGACTAACATCGTACATGTTAGGGGTCTGAACCTCTTGGTACCCACGCTTGCGATATTCGGTCCGAAGCAATTTCTGGATTTGATTGAAAATTTTCACTCCTGCGGGCAAAAGGAAAGGGCATCCTGGAGAGTGTTCATCGAAGAAGAAAAGTTCCTGCTCCTTGCCGATTCTCAAATGGTTTCGCTTCTCTGCCTCCTCGAGGAACTTCAGGTGCTCGGCCATTAACTTCTTATCCGGGAATGCGACACCACGAATACGTTGAAGGGAGTCGTTAGACTGGTCACCCAGGAAGTAGGCAGATGAGTTCTGCATGATTTTGAAAGTCTTGATCTTACCAGTGTTCTGGATGTGAGGACCACGGCACAAGTCGACTAAAGTACCGCAACGGTAGACCGTGCTCTTCTCACCAGTCACCAGCTTATCAATGTAGTGCAGCTTATACTTGCTGTAGGAGAACATCTTCCGAAGATTTTCCTTGGAGACCTCCAACCGGTCAAAGCTCTGCTTCTCCTTGAAGACGCCCTGGGTACGCTTGTCAAGCGCCGGCCAATCAGACTCTTTAACCACACGCCCTTCAGGAATTGCCATCTAAAACCTCCAAAGTCAGCAAACCAACCAACCGTCAAGGACAGAACAAGCAAATCACGTGCATCGTAAAAGAACCCAGCTGCGGTGGGGGGCCCATGGGACAAGAAGCATCCATATTCACACTCACAAGCCTCACCAAGACAGTGAGCGCTAGAGTGCCAGAACACCTCCCGAGCCTCAGGGTTGCTGAAAGGAAGCAGCAGAACGCTGCAGTCACCCTCAAGAGGGCGGTTGAGGTCCCATAATTCGCCATTGACCTTCGCAATCACAATGTTGGCGCTCACATCCTTTGGCACGTTGCGCAGGAAAGATCCAGGAGTGGTCTCGTAGGCCTTGGCGGGGACGGGGGAGGGGTTGCCATCGCCAATATCGAGGGTAACATTGATATCTGGGTGGTCGCGGGTCTTGGTCTCCTCGACATGTTGCTGCCAGAGCTCTTCGAAAAGCTTGTTGCGCTCAATCATCCACTCGGGCAGGACTTCGGGGGCGGGGGCCTTTTTCGCTTTGGCATCGTTTGGCGGGGCAGCGGCCGGTTGGCCCTGAGCCTCGGCGGCAGGGCGCACGGGCAGATCCTGGGGGGCCTCAGAAACCATAATTGGATCTCTTGGGGCAGTAGCAGGAAAATTGACCGAGGAGAGAAGAAACAGAGATCTAGAAGTAAGTGATCTGCTATCGCGATTGAGAAAATATGAGTCAATACACTTCTGTGACGGGAGGGACGGGCGGTGAGTCATGTGACTGTAAACTGCCCTGGCTAGCGACGCTTTACCGCATGAAGTTTCCACCACCCGAAAACTTCTTCGCCCAAGTCCAACCTCTAAACTTACCATCCAGCGCAATTATGTCTTTCCGTGGCCGTGGCTTCTCCGGCACCGGTGCGAACCGGGGTGGTTTCGGTTCTCGTGGTGGTAAGAAAAATCCCCGCAACTTTCGATTGAGAGTCCGAATTAAAGCTAACGAAATTTTTTTTTTCGGGTAACAGGTCGCGGAGGTTTCCAGCCATCATTCGGCCCCCCAGCCCAGGTCCTGGGTAAATACAATTCCTATCGAGTCGGTGGATGTTTTATGGGCGCAATGCTGATATTTATTAATAGAGATGGGTACCGTCATGCACGCCTGTGAGGGTGAGATGGTTTGCGAGTCTATCAACCCCAAGGTTCCCTACTTCAACGCCCCGATCTACCTGGAGAACAAGGTATGCTATCAATCCCACGGCCAATATCACAAATCATTTGAAGTGCTAGAGCTAACAGGCTTCTTTGAAATAGACTCCCATCGGCAAGGTAGACGAGGTTCTGGGCCCCATCAACCAGGTGTACTTCACTGTCAAGCCCCAGGACGGTATTGTCGCTACCTCTTTCAAGCCTGGTGACAAGGTCTTCATTGGTGGCGACAAGCTGCTGCCTCTGGAAAAGTACGTTCTTCTCTTTCGACGATCCTTACCCTAAATGTGTTTGCTAACTATCTACCCCAGGTTCCTTCCCAAGCCCAAGCCTCCTCCAGGTGCTGCTAAGCCCAAGCGCGCTGGTGGTGCCCGTGGTGGTGCCCGCGGTGGTGCTCCCCGTGGTCGTGGTGGCTTTGGCGGTCGTGGCCGTGGTGGTGCCCCCGGAGGTTTCTCTCGTGGTGGCGGCTTCGGTGGCCGCGGTGGTGGTCGTGGTGGCAGCGGCTTCGGTGGCCGTGGTGGCTCTGGCGGCTTCTCTCGCGGCGGTGGTCGTGGTGCTCCCCGTGGCGGCGGTGGTTTCTCTCGTGGTGGTGGTGGCCGCTACTAAGATATTGCTGACCGACTATTGTGTCTTCTTACGGCGTTTGGGGGATTCGGGAGCTTTTTTGCAGGAATATTTCTTTTTTTCTTGTGCATCCTGACACAATTACTGCTTCTCTGACTGCAGAGACTGTAGAATATATCCAGTCATAAAATCTGTTTTATTTACTGCTCATCTTATTTATTACAATCCCTCGTATGCAAGTAATCTTCAAGACTTGACCGCCGAGCCAAAAAATGCATGTGGCTTGACAAGTGGCGCAGTGCACCGCCTCGCGGCTATTGCCTTTCGGGAAATGACGTTGACCGCTCTGCGAATCTGTGCGTCCGTCAACACTCGAAGCAGGATTGACGGTCATTTTAACTTCCTCAACCCTTTGAGATTTCTTGAACCAGAAAACCTTCCTACCCGAATTTCCCTATTTTACTTCAGTCTTGATTTGAGCATGTCTCGCAGAACATCGGCCATGGCGTCGAACGAGCCTAGCAGCGTCCCGCCTTCAAACGACGGAGGTCAGTTTGCGATCGACAATGAACCCCTCGTGAAATGTCGCTCACATGTTACAGGCCAGGAAAAGCAGAAAATGCTCCTCTCTGAAGAACATGGTCATTTCAGCATGGTGAAGTGAGTAATCCTTTTTGCCGCTGCCTGCTTTCCAAAGATCCCCCTCTAACATCGCTACTAGAGCTCTCCACCTTGCCGATCTCGTTACCGAGTTAAATGGTATGTAACTTTGTCCTTGGTTCAGTGTGATTGAAAGCAAACCAGGTTTCTGACTATGATCCATAGGTTTCTGCGGAGGCAAGTTCAAGCCACTCGACGATCTGAAATTATGCTAACCGTCGGAGCAGTCATGTCCGTTTTCTCGTCCATGCGCTACTGTCTCGGAGACCCCTCGGAGTACGGTGCCATGTGGGCTGCCCTCGCGTTTATGCCATTTGGTCTGTTCTTCGACTTCATGGATGGAAAGATTGCTCGCTGGCGCAAGAAGTCGTCCCTGATGGGCCAAGAATTGGATTCGCTCGCAGATCTGGTAGGAGAAATTATCCGGTTGGCCCAACTGACTTCATGATGCAGGCACTGATTATTCGGGATGTGTTATAGGTTTCCTTCGGTCTCGCCCCTGCTGCCGCAGCCTTTGCGCTCGGCGTTCGCACAAACGTTGATCACCTCATCCTGGCCTTCTTTGTCCTGTGTGGTCTCACTCGTCTGGCCCGGTTTAACGTCACTGTGGCTGTTCTGCCCAAGGATAAGAGCGGCAAGTCCAAGTACTTCGAGGGTACTCCCATTCCCACTACACTTTATATCGCTGGTCTCATGGCCTACTGTGTGTCTCAAAGCTGGACCCACGAGAACATTCCCTTCGGAATCATTGCCGAAGGCACAGCCCTGGAATTCCACCCCGCTGCTTTGTTGTTTGTCTTGCATGGTTGCACTATGGTCAGCAAGACCATTCACATCCCGAAGCCATAGATGTGATTGAATTTGGGCGGGTGATCTAGTTTTTCATTTTGGGAAGCCTGAGCTTGTCTCAGCATCGACAAGTGACCATGAAAATAAAGAACGAGAGATTTCTTTTGTCTATAAGCAAGCTGAATGATCTCAATCCACTTAATTGAGAACGATCTAATGGTGAGAATAAAATTTCAAGTGATAATCAAGATGAAAATGTACTGTATGGTTGCCAACAATGACAATACTTTTGGGGTTTTATGCAGCTGAATCTAAGCTCTACGACTCAATTACTCCATTTGCTTGTATCATTAGAGCTTTTGAAGCTTAGTCTAAGATATCATAAGGAGTAAGGCCCAATTCTGTCTTCATAGTGATGATGAAAACCGTTTGGTAATCCCTCAAGGAGATCAAGGCCATTGAAATACTTGAGGTAAGTAGGAACAGGGTGGAGGAAGCGGACATGAATTTCTCCTAGTCATAGTCGTTTTGGTACGTGCTTGATGTACCAGGTCACTAAGCCCAGGTATTTAAGCCTCCTGAAGGGGCCTCTCGACCTGATCAGCCTGATTGCGCCGCCTGATTGCGCCTAATTGGAGGTGCGTAAGATCATTTATGAAACTCCATTTCAATCATCGTCAGGAATTGAAGAAAGTAGAAGCGAAGAACGCCGTGAAAGGCGACAAGGCAGTGTTGGTGAAGAGCAAGGTTTTGAAGCAACCCTTCTTGTAATTATGACCTTCTCGCAACTATGAAGCAGGGAGCCTTTGATTTCAGAGGTGCCTCGACTTGTAGGCTGATACAACGGACAGGCCGCTTGCAAGTATATCAAGATTACAAGACTGCGGTGTTGAAATCGAAAGATTTGACCGGGTGCTTTCATAAACTCTGATCTCTTGCAAATTTCTATGTCTTCCATCTTCGATTGCCGGAAGAGTGGAAAGTAGAAAAGTGGGAGTGCAGTTGATGATCCTCGCTCCGCAGCTGACCAACAACCACGACTACTTTCTCTATCATGCCCCCATTATGATTGGCAGCATTCATCACCGTATTACTCGGTTTACCATGATAAGTCGGAGCATGAACATCATTGCTGCTATTTTAATATACTCTACACCGAATCTTGTTCATCGACAAGAAACTCACACACCAAAAAACACTCACTTCTAGATAAAATCCGATGCAATCGCAGGATTCTGCCCGTATATTTCAGGGAATGCAATCAATCCCATTGGCCTATATATTTCGGCGCAGAAATTCCCAGGCACGACTGGTTATATTCATCGCACTTGAATGTGATCCTTTGCAATACTGGTCTTCCAGGGAGGCAAGCGGGACTAAGCGGAATCATCATCTATTAAACCCCAAATTCTCATCTCCATCCGACTCATCCGGCCTCAATACTTCTAGTACTAATTTTATCTAAGATACGACATCAATAAAAGGGTCATTGTTTTACAGATTACACCCCACGCCCTCAACCCATAGAAGGGTTCTAGGCCCTGATCGAAAGCCCCATAGTCCTTGGCCAAGTCAACGATCCACTTTATGGGTTTGCAGCCCAGAACAGCCGAAGAACCTTGAAAGCACAATCTGTATCCTCAAGGCATGTCCAGAAAGATGAGATCAGAATTTTCTTGTGTTGTTATTTTTGTTTTTGTTTTTGTTTTTGCTTCTGTTTCATGGTGTTCTCAAAGTTTGGCGCAAGGGGGGTTCAACATTTCTTTTTGCGCAGACTCGGACCAGGCTAGTGAGCGCCACAGGCTCGAAATACATTGGTGGTGAGTCAGGGTCCGCTGGGGGACAAGCCTAGACACCGGCGTGTACTTGAGGTTTTTACATTTCAAGGTTTTGAGTTTGTACGCATAGATCGTCCAGTATCCAAGATTGGAATGGTGGTACAATATACATCAGTAGAAAGTATGATATCCCAAGGGCTTTCTATGTCTATGATGTACTAGTTGCATCTGCCATATGTACAATGTGGCCAGCAAGCCCAGCGGTACAGTAGCGCCCGGCTGTGTCGATCTTGACTGCTGTACGTACGTGATCGGAAATGATGTGATTTCTATTGAGAAACGAATGTGGTGGGCCAAGTCTAATGAATTGTACTGTAAGGGCCACTGATAAATCAAATGACTTCCCCACCACCGTCAAAGATGGGTTACACACTTACATAGCCACAACATAAAGACCAGATGACCTCAAGAGGCTTCCTCGATCTGTTCCCGTGATACTCGGACGTTCTATGAAAGTAGCGTTCATGGGGCATGGCTACGGTTCTAGTCGCTCAGGTGCTCCTGTGATTTTTCAAAAGCAGCATAGCTACAACTGGCCATCTGCATACGTTGTAGACGTACCTCATGCAGGCAATTAATCAAATCCATGGTCAGGACCCTGTTTTGGATGATCAGCAGTAAATATCTGCAATGCATGGTCCCTACATTATTATCTCGGCGAGCCAGCCTTGGATATCCCGGCGAATAATGTATTGTATAATGTCTATAGAGCTGTATCTCCCAGGGTCCAGGGGACAGTCGCGATTGGTAAATAGCCGAAGACATGTGCTTGGAAATTCATTGTGTAATTTATGTATTGAGCTGTAAATTACCGAGACGGACAGCTCATCCGTTGGGCACGATCCACTCGGGAGTGGCCGCGTAAAAACCGTGGTCCGCGAAAAGGGGTGTTTTTCTGCTTTTCTGTTGTTGTTTTTTTTTTTGTCTCTTTTGCCAGTATCTATTTTATCGAATTCCTGGGTGAAGATTAGGCGAATCTATGCTCTAGCAAAATAACGCTCGGTATTAGAATATAGTTCCTGCTTGTCAGAATTAGAAGCCAAGCCTCCCGGTCTTAGCGCTGAAAAGTCCCCTCACACCCCGGACACGGCTGGGAAATTGCGCTAATGAGTTTCATTTCCCTGGGAAAAAAAAAAAACGACGAATAGGCGCGTCGTCGCAAGGTAATACAAGAAATTTTGACAATGAACTACAAGCGTAAGGCGAATCTTAGATGGTTTACTTTGGTCCATTATTCAGATTTGTTTATCCAGTGCTCAGTTGGACAACACTTCAGTGTATGACAGATTCGGTTCCATGAGGTGTGATTGTGGATGTGTGGGTGTCCTCTGTGGCGAAACACTGTAGACTCGCAGATCTGACAGTTTTACACGAATAAAGTCACACCAGCGTTCAGGGACGAACCTGAAAAAGGTTTAACATGTCCAGTGGCCCCACTAATCGGCCCCGCCTGGAATGAAAGTGGGAAGCGATCGTCTGCAAGTTCCAAGGGTCATCAGCGGTACCTGATGACTCAGCCAGTTTGGGAGTTATCATTGGCCACAAGTCGACGTGATGACGGCAGGGAATATCCAATACATACAATACATACCATACCAAGACCCCAAAAAGGAGACAGAGAGACAAACAAACTGTCCAACCCGCACTGCAGCCTGTAACAAACCCGTATCGTGTTTGTACCTGGGGAACAGACCCCTTGACCCTGAGCAAGGACCCCGTTTCTTCTTTCTCCCTGAAGACTCGCTCTCGTCCTTCCTTTTTTCCTTATTCACTCTCGTTAAAACCAAAAGGGATCGCTCTTTTATCGCCCTTCGCCTTCCTCTCGACCCTGAACCGTACACTTCCAGTTTCCAACTCGACTGGTCCGACCCCCGGTCGCTTCTCACTCAACAAAGCCGAACTAAGAAGGGGCAACATCCATCTCACTTCTCTTCGCGACTCTTTGTACTACCGGGCTCTCGATACCCGATTCCTCTCGCTTACGAACTCATTGTTTCTCCCTTCGTGTCATTTTCCTGACTGTTGATTGCACCTATCTCGACCATATCGACTTCTACACAGCGGGTCTCAAGGGTCCCACGACAACGCGACCACACATTACCCGTTGGGGTGGAGAACCTTTACTCCCAAGGACGACACTTATAAACATACTTCAATTCTAGAAGTTCAGAAGGGTAACGCCGGTCGTTTCCTCGCTCTTCAATTTTCTATCGCAACGACTGTGTCTGCGGTAGCATTTCATTCCCTTCACGCGACTCGATATTCTCCCCCTTTCCTCTCCGCCATTCAATTCACAATGTGGAACGCTTTGACGGTGTCGACTCTTCTCCTTGCAACCAGCTCGGTTGCTGCGCCCTCCGAATGGCTCGTACGACGAGCCGATGATCTTGTGGGTTGCTATAGCAGCTCCCTAGGCATGTCCAACAAAACCTCGAATGAATTCCAGAGTTCAGGTTGGTGCCAAGATAGATGCATGGGAGATGGTGCAGCTGCTTTTGCTTTGACCGGTGGCTCGTACTGTCTATGTGGTAATGAGCTACCACCGTCGTCGGACAAGGTCGATTCGAGCAACTGTAATACACCATGCCCTGGTTGGCCGAAGGATAAGTGTATGTTTTGTCCCTGAAACTTAGTGGAAAACAATTTTTACTGACAGCCAATAGGTGGTGCGGATGACTACTATTCAGTGTACACGACAGGCTTAGAAAGCAATGTGGAGAGTTATTCAGCCTCGACGACTAGCAGCAGTAGCAGCAACTCGACCGCCTCTGAGACCAGCAACGCAGGCGGGAGTGCAACAACTAACTCCGCCGGGCAAACCGTTTATGTGACGGATACCAGCAATAACGATGCCGCCGCCGCCGCTTCCGCCCAAGCTGCGAAGCAGCAAGATGAGGAGAAGCAGAACAAAAGTCACAACACCGCGGCGATTGCTGCAGGCGTTGTGGTTGGTGTGGTTGGTGTAGCTGCTATGGCTGGAGCTGCCTTCTTCCTCTACCGTTCTCGGAAGCAAAAGGCTCAGGGATACCGTGGTGGTCGTGATTCGGGACTGCCGTCCATGTCAGATTCGCGATTCGACGGCCAGTACATGGCACAGCGCCGGCAAAGCAATGGCAGTATCGACGATGATCAAGATTTCTCTCGTCGAATCCTGCAGGTGACCAATCCTGATCGCTAATATGCATGACCCCGCAATGTACCATTCCCTTTATACCTCACATAACCGTCACCCTCCTTCAATCCCGCCTTGGTTTATGAGAGCCTCTTTTCTTCCGTCGTCATATTTTCCTCGGGTTATTTAGCGGAGTTACGATATCCGAAAGGCATATGGCTCGACCCGATTCGGTGTCCATATTTTGTTTTTTGTTTTTAATTCCTTCTTCTGGCAGCGCCTCCAAACGCGATCGTGCTTCGAGCCGTGGACCAACATATACCACCTCTATTTGGAGATCGCGCCGGGTGTACTATGTGGGAACATTTAGGATATCCCTGTGCGTGTCAGTTCTCTGGGTTGATGCGTCTCAGTAGACGCAGCAATTCTGACTTCTGACCAAAAAGGCGTTTGATTTCGGCTCTATCGCTCGAGTTTGAATGTTTGGATGAACAGACCGTTTCTTTCTCTTTTTTTTTTTTACAACACGATTTCTTCTGAACAGCTTCTTTCCTCAAGCCGGCCATTGGTTGGGGTTGATTTAGTCCAAGGTTACGTTACATCATAAGCATGAGCAAATATCTCCTGTCCTGGACAAATGGGTGACTGTAAGTAGAGAAGATCTAGTCTGTACCTAATGCGAGTATGAATTTGCAGTGACTACGCTGTTGAAGTAGGTTATCTAGTTGTCCACTCTATCCCGTTATAAGGCAATCATACGATGCCAGCATAGTCACATCCTCTCCTCTCGGGATATGTCCCACCACTGAGCTGTTTCCAGGAAAGTCTCAGCCGTTGGGTTCCATGTTTTTCGTTCCCTGGAATGCGGGGATCCAACGTCCCGGTGGCGTCCCAAGGATCCATTCTTCTCTATTTCAACATCTACGACTCGGCGACTCCACAGCTATAGCTTACCACGAGCATCATATACGCTGCCTCTCAATTCCCTACGAAGTTTTCATCTCTCACGCCGCCGGTCTTCAAATTTTCCATTAACGTTAAAATCCAAAGGCTCGCCATCATGCCCCGCAAACGCAAAGCATCACTCTCAACCTCCGAGCCCTCAACATCACAGCCCAAAGTACCAACCAAACAGTCCTCGGTCACAACCACATGTTCAACCTCAAACCCCTTTAAACCCTATCCCGCCTCAAAAATTTACCGTCTAATCGAACCAGGCCCAATCCTACTCGTCTCAACCGGTTCCCTCCCCCAAAGAACCCACAACCTCATGACCCTAGGCTTCCACATGATGCTCCAACACGAGACACCAGCCTTAATAAACATCTGCCTCGGACCCTGGGACGCAAGCTTCGCCCTTCTCTCCAACACAGGGTCCTGCGTCCTCGCAATTCCCGATGTCTCAATCGCAGAGTCGGTCGTTGATATCGGGAACTGTTCTGGCGACGAGGTGGACAAGTGGACGAAATTTGGGCTTGAGGCTATTCCTGCTGCGAAAGTTGAGGCGCCGCTTGTGGGGGGTGAAGGTGTTATTGCTAATATTGAGTGTGTGGTGCATGATCGGGGGATGGTTGATAAGTATAATCTTTGGGTCTTGAGGGCCGTCAAGGCTTGGGTGCGTAAGGGGTTTGGGGATGAGGATAGGGGTGGGGGGAGAATGTTTCATCATCGGGGTGATGGGAGCTTTGTTGTTGATGGGGACGTTTTGGATTTGAAAAGTAGGATGGTTAAGTGGAAGGAGTTTCAGGATTAATTCGTGTTCTATCTAAGGATGCTGTTTTGATTGATGCTATACTTCCAAGGCTGCGGATTTAACCTTGGAAGACTGAGAGAGTATGGTGGTTTCCAAACAATGCTTATGGAATGAACCTTGGAAATGTATCTCTTTCCCATAACATAATATTTTATCCCGACTTACTCTCATACTGTATATTCCAAATTTCCATATATAGCCAGCCTATTTTGGCTTGCCAATCTTTAAATTCAAAGCTTGCTGACTTATTCTTGTTGGTATTATCTTTGGTTGCGACGATATATATTCCGAGGTCGCCAGGACTTGGGCACCACCCAAACTCAATATTAACAATCATCACTCTCACTAGGTAAATTTTGTTACAACCTTGAACAGGCAATTCGTCCGACTGCAGACATAATAAATGCGATGAACAAACCCCATTCAAGAAGATGCAATGCACCTAACCGCCAGACCATGGCAAGCCCAGCGCAAAGAACTAACACAGGTGCTTCAACCACCCAAACAGACCCAGCAGATATCCAACAACTCAGCGCTGCAGAAATGGCTTCAGCCACCAAAATCATTAGTCCAACCCGACATTCAAAGCTAATCAGTCACGTCAAACCATGACATCAAATAACGGCGTCCGCCATTATAATCGCACTCAACCCCGAATCCCGACTTCATGGGCCAGGGGGGTAAAAGCGCCTCTGAGGTCATCATCGAATAATTGAGACAATTGTAACCACTGGTCTACAGTTACCGGCCCGACCAAGCCTTATACATCATTCGCCTAGATTCAGTCTCTTAGCTAGATAGCTAGCCGAAGCCCCCAGACCCCCGACCCCGACCCGACGCAACACAACCAACAAGTTCGTGATGATCGCCACCTATCCAACGGCGGTTAGTCAATGAAATCCGAGCGCTCACTAGTATCCCCATCCGGTAGAGATGGTCGCAGGAATTGTGATCGTCGGACTTCTAACCAACCCGTCCACGCCCATACCCATGTCTTCCTTTCCAGATTCGGATCGATTTGGTTCAGGGGTGTCTAGATCTAACAGAGGACTAAGGAAGTGGAGTACGGAAATCGATTATCTGAGTCCCAATGACAGCTAACATCATACTTACCCCAGAAGGAATGGATCTGCTGTAATTCTGTTTCCGCGTTATCGGGTTGCGGGATTGCAGATATGAGATCATTGATCAGGGCTTGCTGGACCATGACTGTGGAAGATAGCCCAGACATGCAGGATTCCTCGGAGAATTTGTTTTCCTTTGATTCCTTGTACTGAATGTTTTCTTTGTAGATCTAAGGATCAAATGACAGATGCCTAGAACTTCGGAAGCTTGGAAACCCCGATGAGGAACGAGGAGTATATCCCACAAAAGTAGTCAATCAAGCCCAATTTCGGAAATTTAGAAAACCAACATGCACTTTACCCACCGAGAATCATCCCTGCACACTAAAATTGGCTTTCCTATCTTGTCTAGTCCGAACCTCAGTTCAGCCAGCCTCCAACCAACAAGGAAACCTCGAATAAGGTCCCCGCGCGGTGTAGTACAGGGACTGAATTACCCCCGGCACCACCAAGGTAATAGCCTCCTGTGGATCCAACAATAATGTATCTCTGCGTTGTCGTCCCCCATTTGCGCCTGACAGTCGTGGGGATAAAAAAAGTACTGCATTGTTCCCCACATGGAATTCTCCTATTGTACTGTACTCGGGTTGGCTGGAGCGAATGAGCGGTGTCCATTCAACCAACAGCGGCTGTGGAGCAAGAATCGCTCGCGCCCTCCCAGGAAATGATGTCATTGTGCATTTGTGCGTGCTAATGGGCTCGTTGGTTGTTCCAATAGGTTGGATGGGGTGGGGAGCTACAGTAGGGAAATGCTTTTGTGTCGTTGAGGCGGTCTGATGGGCGATTTGATTCGTGGGTATATGTTGGTGGTTGTGTTGGTTTGGTGATTCGATGACGGTGAATATTCACGCGCTCTGTTCAAAATAGTTCAGGCTGATTGATTGCATGTATGAGGCTAATTAGGTGCGTTTAGTGGGCGCTAGGTCTTCCCTTCTTTGGATGTCTTATTTTAGTGCGATGTTGTTGTTGGAAACTTTGTTAAGTGTCAAGTATTGGTTTGGTTTGGGCGACCGATACGTCACTTGATAACGGGACCTTGCAACTAATCACATTAGACTGAGTCCGTTAGATGTGGAGTGTGTGAGCCTAGTTAGGTCAATGGAAAAGGTGGAATTTTATTAGTCGCCGAGTTCGTTTCATAGAAGATCTGCACATCATGTAGTTATTTATGGCAAAAGATGCGTGGGGCGTTATCAATGTGTGAGAGATTCATGGAAAGGTTTTGATCGTGACGTGCAATGGGATCAGGATATTTGGGTAAATTCAAAATCAAGAATGGGGAATGGAGTTCGGAGTAGCTGCGGCGCCGTGAGATGCATGAAGCTTTACAGGAGGCAGCCTTGTACATCCTGCAGTGACTAGCAACAACAAAAGAGATTACAGGTCTGAAGGGTCTTCAACTAGTGCATTGAGAGTTGCTACAATCTAATCCTGAAGGAGTTCAACATATACTCCGTATATACATAGTATCACGATAAAGGTGATCTTCAGCTCCGCTATCACCATGTGGCAGTGGCAAAAGGTTAATTACCTGAAACACAGGGCTTAATGTTTGTTCGACCTCAACTCCGCCCAAGAATAGCAACCAGCCTCCAACCCGCATTTACAGGGGTTTATGAAACGCACGATCAACCCGTGGCTGAAGCAAGGGCGTTCGTTTCGGAGTTGTTTTTCGCATGGGCGTTGTACATCAGTCTCTTCTCACTGGTGAGGGGGAGGGAAGGTGGAGAACGTATGTCATTGCATGAGATAAAAATACTTTTGGATCAGCATCAACCCGCATCAAGCCCACGTGTAAGCAGCTGAAACGAATCGAGTCGATTATCCAGATGAGGTTAGCGGAAGGATTGCATCGCTTTGCAGTAGTGTAGTCCCCACAGTCAGATTTTGACTAAATTGCAATCCTACGCTTGGACGGATTAGGCTGTTATTATGATTAATTAGCATTGCATCTATTATCTTGTTATATGCGATTCTATTATTATTTTTATTTTATTATTTTCTTTTTAATTAGTATTATTACTCTTTAATTAATCCTGATCCTTCAACACATGGTCGACAGGGTTGCCAATCCTTTCTCCCCAGTGTCACCACATGGGAAATGAATGAGGATCAAGGAAGATCAATTCTCCCGCACACTCTACCGTGTCTTCCTCACCAATCGACCATCGGTTAATCTTCACTTAATTCCCGGGAATGACTGTTTTCCAGGCACGGTGCAACCCTACTACACACTATTGATCTTGGCCCAGATCCTCATCCGCATCTAGCTTGGACCTCTCTTCCCCTTTTCCTCGCATAAGGATTCTAGCTACCGAATCCAGATGACTTCACGGGTTGAGCCGTCTTCTTCATCGTAACGTCTGTGTCCCTGAATCCTTCGGAAGAAACTCAAGTCCGATGATCTCGTCTCGAGCTTTCGCCTTTTCAGACCTATTTCCTAATTTCCGCGACATGGTCAGAGCTCAGGATCTCCACATAGGTGCACGTTTTCTAAATCTACTGGATTCCATCTTTGATTGGTACATCGGGTTCATCGGCGATGAGAAATTAGTCTCCCTACACACTCTCGGGGCCGCCTCGGAGTGGAATCCACCCACCAAGAACGGCAATAGGTGTTGTAGAATTACTCCGTATCAGAATAGAATGGAGATCTACAGCCATGTGTTTTTGCCATTGGATAAATTAAGTCAGTAAAAGCCACATGGCACGATCGTCGCAACACGGATCTTTGAAACGTCCTGTACCCTGCACCGCATGCATATACCTACATGTACCTACCAGCTGAAACAAGTACCTATGCTTGTGTTACAAGTCGCACGTTGCGCCACACGATACTGAGAATGAGCTTGTTATCGCTACTATACATACTGTATTGTACCTATACTTTTGGATACCTACCTGTCCCATGCTTATGCTACAGATGTAGCTGGACACTGTGGGTACCCACCTGCCCACCAGTGCAAAATCCCATCTAGTCCACATCGAGAACGTAGCACAGACTCCGCTCTATCCGCAAATAACGAAAAGTAACCAATAGGGTCCATTTACCCGGATCCTGATACCAGTGTGACAATGATCTTCGAAGGAGCGATATTGACTTCAGTGGCTTTGTGGCTTCAATGTTCAACCCTCAAGCTTCCACTGCAGACAAAGAGAAACTCGCCTCTGTCCTGGCTACAGGATGGGATTTGCCACCACTATTTGATCAGTGCATGTTGTGGAGTACAGTTTTGTATAGATTCCCCCGCACAGTGGTCTCCCTCTACTACACACATCGAGACTAGATACTGGGTTCCCTACTAGGTATCCGGCTCCTTGGTTCTTCCCAGGGATGTGGCAACTGCTAGGTAGCAAGGCGCCCGGATGGCGGGCGCAGATATTTGTCATTGGTCATGGGGATTCTTGTACATCAACTAGATGGACTGAGGCGTCATGAATTAATATATTCTGTTCCAAATCACTTCAATGTATCTTTTGCCGCTTCCTGCGTCTTCCTTGGGAGTGTGCATCCATGCAAATCTATCTATCCTACTGTCCATTTAACAGTATCTCGGTATAAGCCGACGTCATAATCCGAGTCCCCTCACTTTACTACCAGTATACCGGGTATGTCTTTAACTGGCCATTCAAATCCCACAAAACCCCGATATAGTAAAAGCAGATAAACCAAACACCGCGACGATCACTAGATGGTTATTGGCGGATTGTCGCACCATCCAATTCTTTCGAGTATTGCTTATCCAGGTAAGCAGCATACGCAAGTTCGCGGGATTTGAAAATCTTCCCTTTGTTCCAGCAGCTTGGACTGGGTGCCGCATTTCAGACGGGTAGTGGAGCCGCAGTACATTGCCGGAGAATTATTCCCCCCCTGCTTCTTGCGCTTAAGAGACTCGTACCTTTGCTAGGGCCTAACGATAACAGTGAATGGGTGGGGCGAGAATGGAAAATTTGCGGTGGGAGATGGCCGGACCGGGCGAGTGGGGGAATGGGGAAACCTTCATCGTCTTGCAATCAACTCGGTTTCCCAGACTTCTAAGTGGGGCCTTGGTGATTGCCACTATACTCAGATAGGATAGTGTAAGGCCTCAGGATAGGTTGGCCTGATAACGGGGTTTTTAGTGTGATTTGGTGCGAATGAGATGGCTGGAGTGGATAGAACTAGAAAAACTTGGTTGGATTTTAATGCCCACTTTGCTTTTGAGAGAAAACAGTATGGCCATCATAGTAGAGGTGTCAGTAAGGAGTCAGTAAAGGAGGATCAAAGGTTGGGTTGGATGTTGGTATTTTCCCTGTTTTCATATCCCGGCGCATGGAGCGTTAGGGCCAGCGCGCATGTTCGGGATTTCAATAGTCCCACCCGAGACGCTGGAACGGCGTGCACGACCGCAACTCCAACGCCGACTATCCTCCGAAAATTAAGAGAAAGTGGAGGAGAGTGCGAAGACAGAGAAAATTGGAGTCAAGGATAGAGTAGATCTCTCTTGATACAGAGTGTGTTCTTTTTTTGGGAATCGATGCATAACCAAATTGACCCGACCGTTAGGGTCGCGGGGCCTAAATCCACAGGACAAGGACTGCGCAAGGACCAGAAGGAAATTTGCCGCGTCGCAGGAAATAAGAAATTAGGGACCACACGAGTCAGGTACCTTGAGGAATTTAGAATGGATCATGCCACTTTGGCTCAACGGGAAGGATCCATGGATCTATCTGAGGTGAGATGTGGACCAAGCCTACTCTGTAGGATGTAAGCAAAGTCTGAGCTCAGTAAATTACAGAGTGGTGTAACAGCATGTTGCTATATTTACTTTATTCATTTTATCTTCCCCACCCTAAGGGTCAGTTCATTGATCGGCCGGGGGTGGGAACAAGCAGGATTTGTTCCCAAGAGCCTCGTAGTGGAGTTGTTGCCAGTTTCCCGTGATTAGACGGAACACTTCCGACCTTCGCACTCCCTACCAGACCAGTCCGACCTCTCCGGTAAGATTCCGTGATCATCACATTATGCCATAATTTTAATACATAGTGATGGTCCTTTCTTTGTTTCCTTTACTCCATACAAAGACCCGAATTCTTGGAACCA